GCAAGAAGGTATTACTCAATGCATATGCTGTGTTTCCATCATACATACTTCAGACCTTTGGTTCTGATCGTATCACCAGTGCGACGAAGCCAGACCGAAATGCTCGCGATGCACCAGACTGTCGTACACATGTCAATATCAACACCATCCGAGTGCCAGCGGATCGGACACAGAGCCGGGCGGTTTCCCGAACTCGGAAATTGAATTCGCAGGATCCGAGTTGGTAACAGGGCGTCCTCCGGGCCCCATAACTTCATCCACTGGCCAACTTCCTCTTTCGCCACAATCGACTAACGATGAGGATATACTCAACTTGGACTTGCCCTCCCCGGATCCTCTCAACGCGACCGAGCTCAATCTCTTAGCCCACTATCTCTCGCACACCAGCCAAACGATCCCATTCGACTCCCTCGATCTCCACGCTCTATCGGTTGGGGTACCCAATCTCGCCTTCAAATGCAAGGCGGTCATGTCATCCCTACTAAGCCTGGCGGCAGCATGCAAATGCCACGACATGGCACATGGACACTCTCAAAAGCCAGTCGATAACCAAACCCTAACAGAGATTCAAGACCTCCTTGCGTTAGCCGAGCGCCATCATGCGGCATCCCTCCGCCACATCCAAACAACTATGCAAAAAGCCCGGGGCTACGATAACGTCCTCGCCAATGCAGCATTGATGGTCTTGTATGCCTCGGCTAGTCACTCCATTCGCGTTCATTTAGCAGCCACAGCTAAAGTACATGGGCAACGGCTCCCAACCGAGCTATTACCGCAACATTCGCAATGGATTACGTTCACACGCGCAGCACATACCGCGTCTAGCGCTATACTCAATGACATTGTCAACGCGACTGCTGCTGGCAGTACGGTGGATTCGGGACCAGATTCCCATCCGACAATGTCAAGTCCTTTATCACCGCAAGACGGTCCATCTCCGACAACGAAACGCTTATTTCTCCCGCTCGTGGCATCTACCTGTGATCGTGCTCTCAGAAGCCTTCGTAGGAGAGCAGAACACACAACTGCTATGCTGCTGCAAGATTCTGCATCATGTAGCATGGTCGACCAACGACGGGTCCATGCATTACTCGAAACCATAACTGTTCTGGAGAGCTGCGCATTGGCAGCGCTATCGCCACGGGCAAGCGACAAGTGGAAGATGATGTCTGCACCATCTCCGAATACTCAGCATACAGCGGGGTTTGAGGGTTCCCGTGCTGTCTCACCATGGGTGGCTCGATACATGATAAGTGTTACGTCTATGGAGGCGCCGCAGATCCTTAGGAGGATTATCATGTCTTTTCTTAATAAAGCTCCGACCGAGTTTCTCAATATCGTGCAATCCGTATTGGACTCGCCTGCTGCAAAGACTAGAAAAGAGAATACAACACTACCACTGTCATCTGGACCCAAGGCGCTATTGATGCTCACTCCGATACATGTCCTGACTATGGATATATTTGCACATTGGCTGGTTCTGGTAATGTTATTAGATGGGGTGTGGTGGATCAGGGATATTGGACATTGGGAGCTCAGCCAGGTCATTTCTATGATGAAGACACATAATGTCATTTCCCAGTTGGCTGACACTAACGAAATGTGGTGGCCGGAAAGCATGTACTTAGTCAAGCGAGAGCTTACGCCAGATTCCTAGTAGTGATAGGTGTTGGATTCTAGGGAATGTGTGAAAATGGTATTAAGTATAGCTATTATTCAATATCTGCACTTATTATCGCAAACTAACCACAAGGCATAAACCTATATACATGATAAATAATGGAAGTCGGGTTGTCGTCATGCCCGATGGAGGCGATCAGATGCGACAATGCACAATCAATATTCATCCTCCTTAAGTGGGCGTTTCATGGACATGATAAGGTACATCTAATATTATAATCAGTCAAAGGCTTGATAAGAAGTTGTATCTTATCTGGAAATGTTACACTGCAAACATCCTCATATCGTCGTCGCTGAACGGTCAGGTCAAGAAAAATCTATCCCAATGACTAGGACCACTCCACAAATCGGACCCTAGTCAGCCATGCACCATCTGGTCCATTAGGCTTCGAGAGCAGAACAACCTGGCGAGTACTTCGAAGATCCTCTGGATGCGTACACGAAGGAACTGCTTCATAGATACGATCCTTATCCTCTGGAATCCTTTCTTGTACGTCCAGCGATGACAGATTCGCTTCTTCCAGATCGATCACTAGTTGGGCAATTTTCACTATGATACGTTGATCCCATAAGCCCTCTTGTTTGGTACACCGACTCATCTGTCGGATAGCCTCGCGACGGATCATCGGGTCACGGCACCTGATTGCTGTGTAGTACAGCCCTGTGACGATACGTATTTCGAATGTGAAAATATCCGGTGCGCAAATCGTGGACTTGCGCTCAGTGACATCGTCAATGTCAATAAGTTGGCCGGCACAGTGAACAAGCTCCGCGAAGGCAGAGTTATAGTTATCGAAGATGGTTTCCTGTCTGGCCAGACATGTTTCCGTCCATATCCATGAGACGAGATATAATGTACGCAAGAGCAACAGTTCTCGCCGATTGACCTTCCGGGAGTTTTCTGCATCCTTTGTATAGCTTTCCAAGGCCCTTTCCCATGTTTTGTAGTCCTTCCTGAGCTCTTCCTGTTGGGGCTTTAAGTGTGTGCGATCTGTGCGCTCAAATCCTGCAGAACGGACGAACATGAGTGTCTTGTTCATGAGCTTATAGAGTGCGTGTTGAGCCCAATAAGGGTCCGACCAAATTGGCCTTCCATCTGAACATTTCACTTGGGGATAAGTAGGCTTGATATCCAAGGCAACCATTGGCCGTCCGTTCATTGCAAGCTGGATATTCAGTCGAAGACTTAGTTTCCACAACTCTAGATAAGTCGCGCCTAGCTTACTACCCAGAGGCTGCAGTTTCCCTATGACGCTCTGAACTATCTTCAGGCCAGCTTCAAGGTGGTCGAGGGCTTGCTTGTGATTACCATTCAACATCTCCAAGCATACAAGAAGGAAGCATGTGATGACCAGGAGATCGATTCTAGGAGTTTGCGAAACAAGATACGTCCTCAAATGTCGAATGGCCTCATTATAATGAAATATAATGAAGCGGTCATTAGCGGCTCGACGCTCCGGAGTGGATGATGGATTTCGCTGTAGCACCAGCGCCCGCTCATGGGCCGCGCTTACTGCCGCCGTGGCATGCCTGACGACCGGCTCGCATTCGCTCAGTTGGGGAAGATGGCGCATCCAGAGATCGGATTCAAAAACCCCGGAAAGTGCCCGGGCCGTCTGTGAGCAGAAGAAGTACAAATAGTGCCGCTCCTTTTGCGTTCCTGGTCGAAGGACCATGCGATGGTCGACGGTCATCATTGGCTTACTGGGGACGACAGGCTGGGGTTTGTTCCCCGGGCGTGATTCACTATATCCATCACACTTTCTTCCTGTACGCTTGCACTGGTAGCATTCTGGCTTTTGTTCATCGCATTTGACATGTCGAATTCTGGATGATGAGCTGGTTAGTCGGCCGATCTTCTTTAGGCGCCCAAGGCTCCGGCTTGTACCTGCAAGTGAGACACCCTGTTCTTGATCTTGGTCCGGATGCTCTTCTTCGCTTGGCCATCATGGAATACGAGGTTTCCACAGGAGTATCTTTTGCCAAGCCAGAGGTAAATCGGAGGACAATGAAAGCTTATCAGGTAGCAGGGATCCAAGCAACCCATGGCTCACAGCCTCGCCAGTCGTTTATCAGCCTGGTCATCGTCATCACCCCGCCTGCCGTTCTGGGCTAAGCTGATTACTGCCAGCAGAATCATACACCGCCTATCCCCTCAGTTCTGCCTGAGGCTGTTATCATGTCTCGCGAAGCTAGATGATATAGCAGTACAACAGGAGGTAGTAATTCTGACCACGGTTTAAAATTGATTAATAAATAGCGTTCAATCTCGTGGATAAGCTGGCCAATACATTTGGAAGACCCGCAACAACAGCTTCTTCCGCCAAGGAAGTTCAAAGGTTCTCGAATGAAGACCGAGATATATGCGTCTGGCTGACAGGAGCCTGAGTCGCTTGGAAATGGAAGGTGTAAATTTGCATCCTATGTGTAACTTGCACAATATTAGACTACTGATCGACTATAGTACTTGTGGCCACTTGGGCAGTTGTCAAGCAAGCTTTGAGAGATGAGGTAACAGCTAACGTAAACCACTCGCGCGGCCGGTACAATCGCGCGGCCCATCAAATATTGCCATGTAAAAGTCATTTTTTTTAATCTCTAATATCTCAACCAATTTTGAAAATAATGGTTTTATCTTAAAGAAATAGATTAAGATAATCAAATATTTATTTTTAATAGTTTTTTCAGATTTAAATAATTATATACAACAGCTGGTAATATAAAATATCAGTAATTTACTTGTAATTTAAAATAACTCTTCAATTAAATATAAATAAATTGTTTAAAATTATTTGAATGATATAAATATATTGGTTTTATTATTATTAATCTTTATTTAACATTGTAGACTTATATAAAGTGTAGTTATTGAGATATTATAATTATTATAAAAGATAAATTTTGTATAGCTTTACAAGTTGGGCCGCGCGATTGTATGGGCCGCGCGATTGTGGTTTATGTTATGCCGGATTCTTGATTACGTAAAATAACGTAATCACTGAGGAGGAAGACTGCACCTGTTGGAAGAGACACACCAACACATTCTAATATCTAGATGTACACTTAGTATAATTTTGGGTGTATGTGGGCTTTATTAGGGCACTCATTAACTCACAGGGCATCATAGTCTCATTGTTGTTTCGCGATAGACTGTCTAAGCATATCTTGAAAAAACGACGGCGGCCGATCTGGGGTTAGATTTGTCATCCACCTAGTCTACCTGACTCAGCAAGCCTTTGGACGATCCCCAACCGGCCATTTACTAAGACAACCCAACAGGATATCTCCAAGGACAGGCATCGCATCGCTCAACTGAGGCCATGGCCGTGAGAAAAGCGCGTGCGGGTCGTCCTGCACGTGCTGCACAAGTTGAAAGACATTCCCTTCGCTCATCCCTAGTGAAGTCCTCAAGGACCAATCCGACAAGGACTGGCCGTCAGGGGGTAACACAGCAAAGTCTCAACCAGCCTGACGAACCGCTCTTGCCAAGATTGATGTCATGGCCCGACACCCTTGCAGCGGTTGAAGAGCAATCCCTTGAAACCCAGGTACAAAGATACAAAGAATGGAAACGTGAGTGCATTCCTTTTCGTCTATTGTCTCCTGGTGTCCCACCTTGTGCTCACTTATGTCCCACAGGAAATGGATCGGCGCACGAAGATTACTGCCGCGTTTGTCAAGCGCACGGGGGAAGACTTGAGCCTTGCTTAACCTGCCGGCTCGCGTTCCATGCCGATTGTATTCCAGCAGGATGGCTGCGTGATTCCCAAGATTCACTTGTTTGTCCAATCTGCGTCCGTCGCGGTTGGCATACCACTCCTCCTACATTGTCACCACCAGCTTCACCACCGCCAGAAGAACGGAATGATCCAACATCTGCAGCTCCGACTACGTCAGCTCCTCACCCCGACACGAATTCGTCATCCAATACACATCCTCATAGTAGCGCCTCAGACGGGCCCTTGGGCGTCTCTTCCATACAACAAGCTCCAACGGGTGATAGACATGATGTACCACCGAGTGGCCCTACTGCTCCCAAACGACTGTATGAGCTCCTTGGCAATGATGATGAAGCTACGGAAGATAATGTGGCATCTCAACGACTGCGACGTCAGCGCAAGTCTCGTTATACGAACCTACCAACGGAAGTAGATACAGCCCTGTCAGTCCTATACCGAGAGCTCGAGTCGAACAAATCCCTTAGGAGAGAAGTAGAGGAACTCCGAAGCGAGAATACCAAAAGTAATCAAACTATCAGGATCCGCGATCTTAGTATCATCGCCTTACGCAGAGAACTGGACTATCGGCGATCTTCAGATCAGGAGATAGAAACACTGCGAGCAACGGCGACTCAACTCGAGAATGCAAAGAAGGAAATTCAGGAGCTACGGGCAAGAAACGAAGCCCTGAGTGCGGAATTACAAACTTGGAGAAATGACACAGCAGAAGCTCAGGCTCTTGTGCGAGATTGGAAGGCTAAGCTTTCACAACTCATTGGAGATTGAACTTTCTTTTCTTGCATCAAGTTACTTAATCCATGATACCAGATCCAATAGTGATTATTCATTTCTTATTTCACTCCTTATCTATTTCCACATATAGCCGCATTCATATTGCCACTCTTTCAGATACTGTCGAGATCTGCAGATCGACTTGCATCGTTGATCCGACATGACGAAAGAAAGAATCCCACATTCTCAACTAACCCCCAACCAGAGCCAAGAATGCATCGCATTTACTTCCGACACTCACCCAACTGCCCACCCACATAAATCTTCACGCCTTCACATCCAATCCCCACCCAACCTTAGCCACCCGCGCCGCCGCAACCGCACACGCACCTAGCAGAATGCTCACACCCGCGAAAATCTGAGCCGCCATATACCTACCTCCATCAGTAGCGATCAACGCCCCTTGAATAGCTGGCCCAGTCAGCGTCGCAAATCCCACAATACTCATGATCATTCCCAGCCTTGTACCAGTGCGATTGAGATCCGGCGTCATGGTCGTTGCCGTGGCGGGAATGAGTGATTGCGCGGCCCCGCCCACAATCCCATACACAACAGCAAATGCATACAGCCCTGCAACAGTACTAACAGCTATCCAGGAGAATATCAACACTGCACATGAAATACTGATGGGGATCAAGAGGTTCAATCGCCCTGTCCATCGATCACCAATAATACCCGGCGCGATACGTCCAACGATACCAACTCCATTCAACACGAGGATCAGGTTCTGTGTATCCGCGACACCAAGACGGTCTCGCGCAAAGGTGCCGAGGTAGAACCAGGCGAAATACAAGCCCCAGAAGTTGAAAAAGTAGGCTAGCGTGAAGAAGATGAAAGGTGGTTCAGCGAATGCGCCGATCTCAATGAGGGGGCCGGTTGTCCGAGGGGGGAGACGGGGTTTGAAGAAAACAAGACCGAAGATCTGGGTAATTAGCATGAGAAGCCCCGCTGCACGGATTGTCCATCCGAATCCTATCTGGTGGTTATATAGCAATTGGTTGATGAGGACAGGGTATATCAGACCCCCTGTGGCTGCACCAGAAGCTGCCAAGCCCACTGCGAAGGCTCGATTTTTCATGAAGTAGGCGGACATGACTGAAAGTCCGGGGTTGAACGTAAGTCCATTGCCGAGACCCATGCATACCGCCTGAGCGAGGAATATCTGCCAGTAGGTCTTGCACACAGAGAGCGTGAAGAGCCCCACGAGCTGAAGGAGGACCCCGAGTGGGTACATGATTCTGAAGTAGCCGGCGTCTGTTGCGCGTCCGGTAAGGGCGCTCATGAAGAAGAGGAGAGATACCTGGACGCTGCCGATCCAGGCGATGGTGGATGCTGACTGCGGTAAGGTTTGGGTATATAATTGTTCGAAAACGGAGAAGCTGGTGGTGATTCCCCAAGAGTTGAAGAATACGAAGTGCATGCACACGACTTGGGACCAGGCTTGGAGTCCTCCATCAGGTGGTGGTGGAGGTACGTGTTCTGAGCCATTGCTGGGTTTTCGAGAAGATAAGAAGCCGTGTAGCTTCTCTGTTGTAGTTGTATGCATTGTAGACTTGGGAAAGCAGTTTGGTGGGTGGAGATGTGTAAGCAGAAGGTTAAAGGGTCTTAGGACAGGAGGGCTCAGGTAGGGGGTTATGGGAAGTGGAGAGGCTTTTCCTTCAGCCCAAATGTTCAGCCCAGGGTCATGGGGGTCATGGCTGTAGGGTTATGTGGGACGATTACCAATCACCCACAGACGACGCGAATGCCTCGGTTTCCAACATGGGTATTACTACTGTGCAAGATTTGTCACGTATGATTGCCGATACACTTGCCGTTGTCGTTACGGGAGCCAGATAAAAGCTTCAATTTCAGTGTCGATCAGACTGGAATGTGAGAGCCTACGCACTTTATCTTTGTTCTTAATGGGTCCTTTCGTTGAAACAATTTCATGTTTATAATCTTTTAGACTCGTAAAATGGCCTGTGACAAGGCGCTGCTGACCGCTCCCTTTTCTGAAGACAAGCTGTCCTGAATTATCTTAAACAGGCCACTAGTATATGTGTACTGCTGAGGCAATACTACAGCTCAAATGCAAGTAAGTCATGGTATAAGACCTGTTTGTACATAGGATATAGCAGCTCTACCCAGAGCCAATAATTTCGAAAGGCCGATTTTCAACACCTGTGCGACTACTGGAACGATTCCGACTTTGATACTCTCAGTGACAGCAGACAGCTAGTGTGTAATATAACAGCGGCTTCGGCGCGCCGTTCTATAGAGATAGTCCAATACAAAAGGCTATGCATTTCCCTCATCGGGCCCATCAAATCATGCTTTATATGAGAGAGAGCTCTCCTCACCTCTCGACAAAACAGGTTGCAGCATGTACTACCTACCCGAGAAACTAGAAGAAGTATAGTACTATGTAATATCGAAATTGATGGATAATCATCCTGCGCGTTGGAAGTCATGTGACTAGCACAGCTCCTGCTGACAAATTTAAGGTGCGCACAGCAATCCATTCCAGCGCAGTTAGCAGCACATTTTTACAGCTTTAACGGGAAAAGGCTGTCTCATACGACACGTGTTACAATTAGTCTTGTAGCATGTAATATTCGATCAATGCAAAAGCCAATCTTCTAGTCAAGTAAACAAAGGTAGTCGTTTTGTAGAAAGCGCGTGAAATCTACGAGTTAATCTCCCAGTCGACACCTACTTGCTTACCAATCACCCGCAAAAGCAAGGGACCATAACGATGAAACAAGACAGGTAATGTGGTAAGAGGTATTGACCTCGATTGCAATCAAGCCTATACAATACTTCGAATTGTACCGTGTTCGCAATATTCACACTCCAAATCTGTTGGTGAGTCCTCAAAATGGTATGTGATGCGCAAAGGTATCCTAGTTATCTTTTAAGGACCCGTCCCTCCAGCCAGGGCTTAATCATTCAGACAACCGCCCAGCATCCTTCATTGCCGCCCTGAATTTATCTTTCATTTTCTGGGCAAACTCGTCATTCGTCAAAACATCCAGAGTAATGAGTGCGTTGGCCTTTCCAGCCCGAAGCGCCTCTGTATGCGCAACATCACCTTTCGCAGACTCGAGGAAACCAGTAGAGTGTGGAAGATCGGGGGCTTTAATGTCGAAGAAGGCCTGGATACCGGGGCAGATGTACGAGCAGCTTCCGAAGTCGCTGGTTGTAGTTAGCTTCCGCCGAACTTTTCAAAGAAGGAAAGACTGACGAGCTTCCTGCCGAGTCATGCACTGTTCTGGCTTCCTTCAAAGGCACCATCTGCTCTGGTTGTAAGCCCAGATGCTGTAGCATATATTGTCTGTATTGCTCCGCGAGAGTATCGTTTGTCACCACGTCCTCGTAGAGTGCAAACCTGCCACAGTTAGCACCACGATCACTAATACCACACCAAAGTAAACAGAACAACCAATGTGAAAAGAAAGAAAACTCACCATTCCATCTCAACCCTACACCCCGTCGCCCCAGCAGCACCATGAAACACCCCCTCGACTCTCTTCCTCAGCGCCTCGACCTCCTTAACCGTCTTAGCCCGAACACTAAACACCCCCTCCGCATAATCTGGGATCAAATTCGCCACCTTTCCCGCCTCCAGGATACACCCCTGAATACTCTCACTCTTCTGAATATGCTGTCTCAACAGTGCAATCCCATTATACGCCTGCACAATCGCATCGCACGCATTTATTCCTGTCCACGGGCCCCCCGCCGCATGCGCAGTCTTGCCATAGAACTTGGCACGCAGTTTCCATGACGCCTTAGTACAGCATACCGGGGTGCTGAAATCTGCCATACCGTGCGTCATCACGCAGGAGTCGAAGCCCTTCCACGCGCCGTTTTGTGCCATCAGCCATTTCCCGCCTTGGGATTCTTCCGCCGGAGTACCCATTACGACGACGGTGCCGGGGAGGTTGTGCGTTTTGATCATGTGTTCGATGGCGACGGCGGAGGCAACGGCCGAGGTTGCGATTAGGTTGTGGCCGCAGGCGTGGCCGATGTTGGGGAGGGCGTCTATTGGGGTGGGGTAGGTGGTTAGTCTGTCGTAGTTGAGAGTAGAGCATGATAAAGAGTAACGAATTGAGAACATACCATATTCTGCATTGAAGCAGACGGTTCGACCGCCCTCTTTGACGGAGAATCGTGCTTCAAAAGCGGTTTCGATCCCGTAGACACTGCGCTGAACGGTCCAGCCGCGGTTTTCGAGCCAGTCAGAGAGTAACTTGCTTGCTTTGACTTCTTGAAAAGCGATCTCGGGGTTATTAAATATCTAGTCGTTTTGAAACCGTCAACATTGTTCGGAGCGAATCGTAAAGTGGAGTAGTGACCTCGAGATTCAGCTTGCGTAGCTCCTCGCTGGCATCGTCGATGACCTTGCCTATTTTGTTGATCACCTCAATTGATTGGAGAGGGTGGTTTGGTGTCTGTTGAGCCATTGCTGTTAAGATCTTCACATATTTTTCGTCCGAATCGATTGCAGTAGAATAGGTCGTCTAAAGGCTGTTGGTTGACACTTATAGCTGCATCATCGCGAGCGGGGAATTGCGGGGAAGCCAGCGGATAGCCAAGGCGATAAGACCGATAAAGTCTGATAACCGCGTGGCTTATCTGACGGATGGCCAGATAACAAAGGCTTGCGCGGGCCGAATGCCGATAGTTCCGCTATCATCAGCAGATAGTTATCAACATGACAGCTGGCCATATTAGTTGATTGTTCGAATATTTCTGATATCAGCAGACACTTGTCCGAAAACAGTCATACATCATGGCTAATCTTTAACATTCCTGTGTGTTTATCTATAAAGTAAATGATGGGAAAGGACGATGCAGCTACCATGTCTTATGGAACGTGAACCATTTTCCTTCTAAACCCCGTCTCTGCTCTCCAGCTGTTCTCAACAGTATAGCAACTTTCCGATCAGTGACATCTTTGCATTGTATCTTTGTCACCCGATGATCAGCACACACCCATGGTCCCTCACTGCACGACCCCGGTGGGGAAGTCTGACATGCTGTCCTTTCGAGTCCAGTAAGCGTCTCCCCTAGTTTCAGAGCCAACATGGTACCGCACATGCCTTCGCGACGTGGGTAGAGTCTCATGAGTTCCAGCGCCCGTTCTCGTATTGTCGGTTCACGGCAACGAACCCCGATCAGGAACAGGGTCTCTGTCACTGTACTCTCTACACTGAAGTGCCGTTTTGTTGGTTTCGAACCTGTATCGGACTTTTCTGCCGAGGGGTTGTTCAAGCCTTCGAGAATTCTGCTTGCTAGATCAAGTATCTGCGCGTAGTCCTCGATAAACTCGTCGTGGGCGAGCTCGCCCTTCGATGGGTCTGATGACAGCATCACTTTGGCGTAAGAACGGCGTAAGTAGAGAACGTTCGCGGCTGTGGTACCCCTTTCATGGGGTGAGCCAGCAAGATATGTTTCTAATTTAGAATCCCATTGACGAAACTCATGAAGACAATCTTCCTTCTTCGCAATCGCTTCAGGTGCAGATATATCAATGCCGCTTGTTAAAAGCTTCAATGCGTTGTTGATGACCTTGACCTCCAGGGAGACGTGTGCTTCATCGAGGGACGTAAAACATCCTTCAAAGGCAGGTAATATGAATTTGGTTGTCCAAGGCACTGGCAATCCTTGAACTAGAAAGATCTGGCGGACCTGACTGTCGAGTTGGGCTAGAAGAAGTATCACGGAAGATATAGCCTCAGATGCATGGGAATGGGTCTGGAAGTCTCTATTCCACTGCTGACATAAAACCATAGCACTGGCAACATGTGCCATAGCCTGGGAATGAAACCCCTGCAAGCTCAGTAGGCAGATAAATATCACACACGTTGCTAAAATGACCATCTTATCGTGTATTGTCAAACGCGGCTTCGACATCAACTCCCGTAAGGACTGTATGGATTCGGTATGTTGCTGTAAGCCAAATCGCACCCTGGCCGTACTACAAGCCCTTGTAATTGCAAGTGGCGCCACATCCTCCAGAAAGTCTCTATGCAAGGAAGACAGCGCGGTAATAGCATGCCAGAGAGCCGGATAGGAGTAAGAAACCTGCAGCAAGGTGTATGACCAAAATCCTGAGTTGAAAAATCCTGTCAAGGTGGGAGCAGTAACTACTTGAAAGTAGTGGAAATGTTCATGGTCTATTGGCTTGTCGCCAATAAAACTCCACGCCGATGGTACCTGCAGCATGCCATGTGGCTGGGCTGACTCGGCCTTGCGGCGGGTGGTCTGCTTGGCGCGCGGGTCTTGGTATCCATCGCATTTCCTACCAGTAGATGTGCATCGCTGACAACTATATTACTGGCCTGTCAATGAATACGGTTCAGGGAATTGAGTCGATCTTACGCACCTCGGCTTGGTTTCGTCGCATTTTACATGCCGGATTCTGTCGAGTCAGTAATTTTACCCACCAGTAAATAACAGAAGCCGTTATACCTGCAGGTTATGCACCCTGTTTTAGTCCTTGTGACCCATCGCTTCTTTCGTTGTTTACCAGATTGGTTGAGCCGTGAAGCGAGCTCCTGAGGAGATGCTGATGACATTGGGGGCAACAAGAAGAATTTGGGGAGTGGAATTGAGCACAGATAATACGGGTTTAGACGAGGCAGCCTGTGGGATGAGGAGTCGAAATGTCAACGGCACGACTCTAGCATTAGCTGACGTGCAGGCGCTGTGGGGGCTAAACCGTCGCATCACGTGGGCGCTATCTTCGTTAATCAGCTTAGGCTTCACTGATTATGCACTTCTTAACCAACTTTGCTGGCAAATACTCAGAGTAGTGCATATAATATCTGGCTTGTCTCTATTTAGTCAAGTATAATGATAACGAACCTTTATCCATTCTATGATATAATTCCCTACTTACAAGGTCCCCACATTGTCCTAAAATGGAAGGAGTTCTCAAGAGGACATCCTGTAACACAGGGTCTCTACCGCAATCAAATCCTACGATCACAAGATATTTTAAATGGTTGAGATTATTAAGTGGGCCACCCGCGAGGAGGTAGAAACAGCCCTGTAGCTCTATTGAGTCATGTCCGAGCCATGCCGCGCGGCAAGTGGAATCAGCATCCGCGGTGGGATCTCCATTCCGAACCGAAACTGTGCCGCCAATCTCGCAGTCCCACCCGAGCTGCTCGGCGTTGAGATGGCTACGAGAACCCTGGTATGTAGTATTCGCCCCATAGAAAGTGGGCCGATTGTCAATGGAAGGCGCTGCCGCCACACCAGCCAGGCTTCCTCCACGCCGGCCATTGCTTGTGCTATATTCTCTGTCTACTTAAGAAGATGGTGAGGAATGATGGAAGCTATAATTTAAAAAGAATAGATCTTGTCTTCTTGAATAAGCGGAGGATATAGCATGAGTGAAGACTAGTATAACGAAAGCCTGTCACCAGTGGTATAGCTGTAGTATCTGTCTTGTTAATATGTTCTTGAAGGATGAAGTGTACATACTAGAAGCTTTGGTAGAAAGCTTCATAGAAGGCGCGGCTTACAGTTGGGCACGGCAAAACTATCACTGCCATGTTTGCCAAAATGGCAAAACAAGAAAGAAAGAAAGATAAAATAAAATAAAATAAAATAAAAGGATATATTCTGCGTTACTTGGAGGTGGTAGGGAAACCACTATATTGTTGGGGGATGTCTACTATAACGGACTTGATTCGAGTGGGCTACAATCTGGCTTAAAAGGAAGAACTCTGATAAGAAAAGAGGCACCCGTGCATTTCATTGTAGCATCGATGACATTCATCTCCAATTAATTATAATGATTGGCTCAACTTACAGTATAAACGATCGACAAGAAAGATACATAAACACAGGAGACAAAGAAATGGATACAAGAAATGATTCAAGGTGACATGTTCTACACAAAGTGATTCTTGATGTCCAACCCGAGCACTAAAAACAGCCCTAGTAAGGAGTCTGGGCGGCAAAGTAATCCAGGATCAACTGGACACGCTCAGTCGCAGCAGTATCCATGGTCTCGTACACAGCACCGACCAAGAAAGTCTCGTTCTTAGACGGAGAGTTGGCATTCCACTTGGCAGGGAGGGTTCCATTGTTGTAGGAACCGCCGGTGTTGGGGTTACCGGTCTTCATGAAGTTGGCCCAGTAGCTGCTCATGACATTGGCCACGTAGTAGTCCTCCTCGGAGTAGTCCTCACCCTGGGCCCACAGGTTGTTCAAGACGTAGACAATCTCAGAGGCATGGGCAGCGCTACCGTAGTTCCAGTAGTAGGTGTAGGTGTCAACCTGGTCGGCAGAGTTGGAGAAGCCGTTCATGTACTGCCAGCTACTGACGCGGAACATGTCACGGACGATCTGGTCCTCCTGTTCACCAGCCTGAGTGTCGTTATCGGCGGGTTAGAGAGCCCAGAAACGGGGTGCGAAGTCACCGTAGCTGGAGTTCAGACAAGACTTCTATGCCGCGACGGTGGTGCTGACTGTGGCGGAGGCTCCATCCTCGTTGGCGTTGTTTCCGGTAATGTAGGGGACCTTGTTGCCGGCACCCTTCTCAAGAGTGTTGATGTACTTGGACGGGATGGCGTAGTAGTCGAGAACAGGCTTCACCTCCAGACTGTAGGTGCTGGTCGAGTCGAGCAGGGTGGTAGTGTCAATGGAGCGGGCTTCGGCAATGGAGCTGACGTTAAGGGAGGAAATAATTTCCTCACCCATGGTCTCGGCATCATCCAAGGTAGTGTAGGCGCACTCGAAGACACCAGTGTTGGGGTCATTGGGAGAGTGAACACCAGACTCAGAGATAGCGTTGACGATACCCAGATCAGCAGTCAACTCGCTGTTCACAATGTGGTAGGTGGCCGCAGCGCCGAACGACTGGCCGATCACGGAAATATGATCCGGGTCACCACCGAAGGCCGCAATGTTCTCGTGGACCCATTTGACCGCTGCATACTGGTCAAGGACACCCCAGTTGCCTGAGGCGTTGCGGCCGTTGGTCTCAGTCAGCTCCGGGTGCGCCATGAAGCCAAACACACCGTTGCGGTAGTTGTAGGAGACGAAGATGATCCCCTTGTCAGCCACACCTGCACCGTTGTAGGTGGTTTGCGGGGGTGCCGTTCCGGCGCCATAGCTCCAGATGGCCACAGGAAGCTTCTCGTCAGGCGAGGTAGCAGGGGTCCAGATGTTGAGGTTGAGGCAATCTTCGCTCTGGGCGTAATCCGCCAGGATAGAGAGAGTGATAGGGCAGATGGCGCCGAATTCAGTTGCATTGAGAGTGCCGTTCCAGGGCTCAGCAGGCTGGGGATCACGCCAACGGTTTACGCCCGAAGTATCAGCGCCGAAAGGAATACCTCCAAAGAAAGAGATGTTCTCCCAGTTGGAAATGTACTCGGACACGCTGGAGTTGACAGCAGCCTTTCCCTGCACGTAGCCGTAACCGGGGATGTTGACGGGCTTCTTATACAAGGGCTCGGCCGCGACAGCAACGCCATTCGCCAATGCGGGCGCAAGCACTAAAGTTGCAAGCTTGGGAAGCATGTTGGAAATGAATGTGGGAAGTAGAAAAGGAATGTTCTGATGATGGATGGATATGGCTGAAGCAGCGGGATTCGCTTGCTACTTATTTATCTCCAAAGTCGAACCTGGAAGCATTTATTCTTCAAGGTCTGTCTAAGGAGGCGTCACCTGTATTAAGTCAGGTTTCAAGTTTAGCAAGTCTACGACATCAATTGCGTGAACTTTTCGCGCGATATATGGCTCGTTGTGTAAAAAAAAAACCAATTTAGATGGGTGGAAACTCCTCCTGCATGCCCTGGGTTGTATCCGTGGCCAGCAGCATCAGGGCTTCTGAGGAAACTCAAGTCTAAGGTTACGTACTCTTGCTCCACAAGCAGTCAACAGGTACCACGCCCAACATGAACTTAGTAGTGAGTCAAATTTGGACCCTCATTCCTGTAGGGGCTAAGAGTCGGACATCGGAGGTTATTCTAAGGTCCGAGATACGGGTTCGCTTAACTCTAAACGTCTCGGGCCTGCTAGGACCGTCGCTCTCCGACATCACTAATATCGACTTCACACAACACACTCGGCCCTTCTTCAAGCAGATTATGCTCTAAACCGAACATCTATTCCCTTCTAAATTCCAGACATACTACGTGATAGCGTTTAATGTATCATAGGACGCAATAGAGAGTTGCTTCTTACACTTATAAAGTATCTTTGAGTTCCCGACACACCAATTTGTTCCATTCCAAAGATCCACGTATATTCGACTTCGGATACAACTACTATTTAGAGATACCAGCCCGGAGCGACTTAGTGATACATAGACTGCAGGTGGAGCTTCGCAGGACACTTTGAAGCGGGGTTTGAAGATCCTCATGAACCAAGGTTGATTGGACACATCTGTGGCGGCCTGAGGCATATGACTTGACACAGAGCGTCGCTTGGGTACATACCGCTATTGGAGGGGGGTGGGCTTAATGTAAGACGGCAAGCTAGAACTCTGTCACCGATGTCCTATTCCATCGACAACAAGCAGATGGAATCTTTCACTGGAAGGTGGCCAGCATTCTTCAATCTAAGGCGGAATAAGATTTAAGAATACGATGAACAGCCAGGCATGTACAATGAGACATTCTCTTATAACCCGTGAGGCCACCAGGGGGAGAGGTCGTGCTCGTGGATGGCCGGAAGATACCTCACCCGCATCAAGGCCATGCGCTTCCTTCATCTCGGAGCACTATTTTATCTGGCATGCCTTTGCTATGACTAGGTCAGTTTCTGGGCCATACGCTCTCCCTTACTGGCTTATTGGTCTTAGGACATCTTGCAAGTAGTGCCTAGAGACAGCTCAGCGCTCCTCGTCTCATTGCTAGAGGTTCGCGGCTTGAAAACTGCCATTATTATAGCCATCGAGCTGAATTATAGCCATCGAGACTCTATTGCAAGTATTTGCTTCGAATTAGCAACAGTCAGGTACGCTTTATATCAGTCAAGTAGTGGCGTCCCATGTCAGGCATTCTAAGCTTTTTGTTAGTCATGCAACTATTGCTAGGCTGAGGTTACGACAACAATATCCCGGCCTTCAATACATATAGCCACTATACTCCTCCTGACCATTATTACGCAGCTTACGGGCAATTTTCCGGGGTGTCTATAGGCTACGTAGAAACTTTGTACATCTAATACGAGAACTGGCAATCTTTGCTTTTCTCCAATTGGTAGTATGCCGAACGATCCGAATGCCATCTCTGACAATACATGTTCTTTCCAGTCTTCACCGCATTATAGTATCACATATCCCGTTATTCGCATGTCCAGCTGCAAAATACCCGCGCAGAGTTTCCCTCGGTAACATAGAATATGATCCAAATTCCGACTGTCCCCCAACTGCATCCTCCCCAAATTTGACTATGTCGCCATCTGTCGCGGATGACTGGCGATGATGTCCCAATATGATCAGAAGCCCAAAGCGAAGCACGATAGTGCTGATGTCTCAGTCTTGGCACTACATATGAACTTCATCACGTCAATCGTTACATGATGACATTAGATAACAGCCGATAAATTGGCTCCTCTCTCTGTCTCTCTCTTTTGCAATGATCTCGCATTTTCCTTTCAGTTAAAGCTTGAGGGTTGCCCATTGTCAGAGCCCCTAGAATGATTTATTGGGTATGGTCTTCTTGTGGGTCATAAATCGAATGTGATTGGTAAACCAATAGAAAGGTGCCTCAAATGACGGATCAGAGGTCCTCGTGAGGATTAAACTTATTCTAGTTGACCTGTACATGCTTCTTAATCTGGTGCTACAAAATTGGTGGGAAGAAAACAAAATGTGTGGTTTCGGAACTACGCCGATGGTATTATGCATTACAGTTAATTGTTCGATAACCGATAAGTCAGTTATTTGCAACTTAATTATGAAAAGAATTTATCGCAATTGCAAATTGATTGTGTGTCGGTAGATCCTTCCCAGGAAAACTTTCGGCGCTCCTTTTCCCTGAACTCCGCGAGTAGCTACAGAAATCTCGGGGGCCATAGCCGAGGGAAAGCTCGAGGATCGGCCGAGAGCCGAACAATAATACGACCAATTTCCCCAACACGTGGGGACCGGCTGTCTAAGCTTAAACCGTGACAAAGTCATTGTTTATTCACAGGCATTATGTAGCCTAAATCGGCTATAAGCGTTCGTATACGATCTGCATCTTCTCCAATTTGCAGGCCAAACTTTACAATTGTACCTGCCGTATATGGCCCCAGAATGATACGACTTTGTAGCAGAATCACTAATTTGAAGATGATTCTCTTACCTCTGTAGTTAAGTTCTTGCATCTCCACACCGAGCATGGATTCCTTGCTCATAGTAAGTCTATTATAGCGCCAGGGGTAAGGTGGAGAGTGGCAAGGATGACGCCGCACTTCTCGAACCCCGCAGTTGCATCGTTTCCATTGCTGTTCTATCCACATCCTAGTATCCTTTGGTAGTTCTACGCATTCTAGGATTTGACGATTTATCTTTTTTACACATCCAGAGCAATTGCCTATACAGGGTCGTTCACCACACTGGCTGGATCAATATGGCAGCTTCGCAATCAGGACTTGAGTTGCCATCCTCTGCAGAGACAGTCTCGGTTTCTCTCATTGACACGTGTGGTTTCTAAATACCCTTTATTATCCTTCTACATCACTAATCAGGTACACAGTGGTGCACGTCTGGATCTTCCCGCAGAGCAGTTCATGACCCCCAAGATTACAGGCTATGACCGACTGGCGGTGCCATCATATTCTTTTCTGATCACTCACCCCTCCGGGGAGAGACTATTGTTCGACCTCTCTCTTCGAAAAGACTTTCAGAACCTCGCTCCGCCATTTAGAGACATTTGCACGGACCCAGAAAGTGGATGGAAAGTCTACTCTCCCCGCAGCGTCTCTGACCTTCTCGTCGAAAATAGCATCCCATTGGAGGAAATAAATGCTATAATTTGGTCTCATTACCATTTTGACCATATTGGTGACCCTTCATTATTCCCTAGTACTACAGACTTGGTCGTGGGGCCGACCTTCATCAGCAGATTTGCACCAGGGTACCCGGAAAAGCCAGATGCGCCAGTCAGATCATCCGACTGGAGAGGACGGTCTCTGCGGGAGATGGACTTTGACCAACACCCGGGGAAGGTTACGATTGGGAGATTCAAAGCAATCGACTGGTTTGGCGATGGGAGCTTCTATCTGCTGCATACACCAGGCCACACTCCAGAACATATGTGCGGCCTCGCGAGAGTACAGTCAGATTCGTTTATTCTGATGGGAGCGGTAGGTCTTCCTTCTTAACTTTCTATCTATGCTGCTCTGTGTAGTGAAACAGCTAAACTCACTGAACACACCACCAGGACTGTGCTCACCATCCTGGTGAGTTCCGACCCTCCAAGCAGAGCCCTATCCCGGAGATCATTCAACCCTCCCCCTTGCCGTCTCATCCGCAGTACGGGACAGTCTGTCCTGGTCATATATTCGCCCAGCTGGGGTCCAAGCCAGGAAGTGCCGACACCCCTTTCTTCATACCTGCTCCAGACTATACTCATGACTTTGATGAGTGCTGTCGGTCAGTACATGGAATAGCGGAATTCGACGCTAGTGAGCAGGTTCTGGTCCTTATTGCTCATGACCACACCATGCTGTCCATCTTCAAGGGCGAGGAGGATGGCGATAATGGCTGGTTCTTCCCGAAGAGATCATTGGATAAGTGGAGGGAAGCTGGATTAAAGAATAAGGGGAAGTGGCTGTTTTTGGAAGATTTCGAGGTCCATTCTACTGAGAGTTGATATTAATTCACGACGACGTTCTTGATCGTTGAGAATTAAAGCTTGGTTATACTTACTGCTGTTTTGTTAGTATCCAACGACACAGCACTAATATAACCAACATTAAACCACTCATATAACATAGCAAATCAGCGTAATCGTGCCCTCCTGCAAGGTGCAACGGCCGCTTTTAGTGACACTCAAAGTCTCCATAAGTAGTGCAATCAGGCCTATCAACATTCGCCCCCAACAGCATTCAATATACCATGCACACTATGAGAGTCATGATTCCCATATCTATTAATTGAATGGTACATACATCTACCAAGTAAACACAGCCTGCTCTATTACCGCTGCTCTACCAAGACCGAAGACTCACAGGTCTCCGCAATTTTCCATAAGGATGCGCGACGCCAAGATGCCTCTGGACTCGGAAACGTACACATAAACAAAGCCTATAATTGGAGTATTGGAGAAGAGAACTGAAAGACCCTGGAATGTCTGACAAATACGATCCCCAAACTGGAGTAATTCCGGCGTCAAAGTTTTCCGAGATCTCGGACAGGCACACCGATTCTCGGAGGACGATCCACCATGCTTACGAGAAAACTCGGCAATCCGCTTCCGAGTCCGAGGCAGGCACAAAATCTTTGCCAAATCTGGAATTTGGAGCAATACTACTTACGTCACAGCCGGTGAAATCATATCGGTAGAATACAAGTTCACCGATCAATTCAACTTCATTCAAATCCCTGCCCTACCTACCATTCATTCATACATAGCTTTTGACATTGCATCTCATCATTCAAGATAACTATTAGCCATGTCGAACCTGAATTTCTCCTGCGCCCTCGTCACCGGCGGCGGAGGCGGCCTCGGCAAAGCAATCGCCTCCTATCTCCTCGAACAGGGCAAGAAAGTCATAATTGCTGGTCGAACCGAGAGCACACTACGCGAAACAGCGAAGGAGATCGGAGCGACAGATTACTTCGTCTTGGACACGGGAGTCACCTCTCAAATACCGACATTCATCGAATCCCTGATCAAAAAGCACCCCGATCTCGACTGTTTGATTAACAACGCCGGCGTTCAGCGGCCTCTGCAAGTCCTAAAAGATGATCCATCTGAGTTCCTCGCCAAAGCCGACCAGGAAATTGACATCAACATCCGAGGGCCCATGCACTTGACTCTGGGGCTGTTGGAGCACTTCAAAAGTAAAGAAAGCGCTATGATCATGAACGTCTCTTCCATTCTGGCATTTGTTCCATTCTCGGTGATTAATCCTGTGTATAATGGCACGAAAGCGTGGTTGCATTTCTGGTCAATGAATCTGCGGTCGCAGTTGGCGAGCGGCGGGTTTGATAAGATTAAGGTGGTTGAGGTTGCGCCGCCGTCGGTGGGGACGGATTTGCATCGCGACCGGGAGGATCCCGATGATAATAAGAAGCATAAGAATCCTAATGCGCTCACGGTGGAGGAATTTATGGATTTCTTTAAGGAGGGGTTGGAGCGTGGGGATGCGGTTATTGCTCCCGGTATGAGTCGCGAATTTGTGGATAAGTGGGAACGGGAGTTTGGGTCCGCTTATGTTAAGCTTACGGGGGGTAAGTAGATAGATGTGTGGCTGGTTTTGATTTAATAGATTATGTCTTTAGTCCGGTATGTAAGTATTAAGTAGAGTCATTGATTGACTCTACAATGCAAGGAGGGTGTTTCATGTGAACAGGCTTTCAAAGAGTGGACCACCGCATATCAAATTGAATGCCTTTCTGAAGAGGAAACTCTGAGTTCGCTCGCCTGTTAGTGCATCTTAAGATATGAATGAGTCAACTGTAATGTACTAGTTGATTCAAAATTCCCAGGTCGACATGTCATTGCGTGTTCCATTTGGCCCCTTCCATGCCAGCTGCCACGATAAATAGTTGGCATCACGCCAAGTTGAATCCCCATCCTCCTCTGGAGCACAGTGCCTCTCCCAATCGATTATATAACTGAGATATCCGCGAAGTCAGTATTGTCCCGAAGTGCCGGGTACCACTGCCCTAATGATCACACCACACATATAAGGCTTACTACCACTTTTTCCTTGCCGCATCCCACCGAAGGTTCTTTGCTCCACGGTCGAGATTTGTTATTCCATGAGAATTGCATTCCCTGTGGTAATAGTTGGGTTAGGTTGAGATTTCGCAGAGAGAGGCATTTTGGGAGACCCACAACCATGATTTCTTGAAGGCTGCCCTCAGCTCATCCCGCTCACCTCTATCCATATCATCAATAACAGAGCATACATCGACACCCGGTACCATCTCCATGACAATAAAATGTATGTAACCACCAGGGATCCATTGATCTTGAGTCTGTTCGCGATTCATCCAATCAATTAGAGCTGGGGTGCTGGAGCATCCTGCTTTTGTTAGGAGACGTAGCGCTTCAACTTCGTTTTCGCCCCTTGTTGAGGGCTCCGAAACTGCCTGTTGGGCACGGATAGACGGCTTCTTAGTGGCACTTCCCCACCATGGTACCCTATACTCTCTGTCAGTTCAGTCGTCTTACTCCCAAACAACACACTATCTAGAGGACAAACTGCATATGGATCTTAAGTACTGCGGTTGGCGGAGCTTGCCCGGCAACTTTTGACGCAACAAAAACCGCACGATCCTCGGAAACAATCCCACCCTCTTCATGGTCTTGTTGTGAATAGAGGTCTTCGCACTCCCTAATTTTCGTCGTGATTTTCCTACGGGTACCCCCCGGGAAAGAAAGTTCTAAGCCCAGCCAATCATCGTCATCGAACCAAATGATGTTGGAGGGGATTATCATGATGGGTCAAAGTCCAGGCTTCGGGGGAGGTGATTCACTGCCCTTGCAGGTTGTCGAGGGGTGAAATTGGAGCGATTCGCAGAGTAGTTTATGGCTGTAGTGTGTAAGAGGGGAGAGCCGGGGGGGGGGGCGCTTATATACACCACTGAACGAGCAAGTTCACGTGGTCAAAATGTACAGGAAGCGGCTCTAGCAAATATAACCTTTTCAATGGCATAGCCATGTCATTGTCTACGCAGTCAGCTACTCTTGGAAGAGCATTTCCCTTCCTCAACCAGCCACTTCAGTACCATCTTCAAGCGGTTGGTCAGTGTGCTTGTGAGCTTTTGGAAAGAAACCTCGCTGGTCATGAGAAAGCGGTGCGCGTTACATGCTAAAGAGCATCTCACGTCAAAATCCCCTCGGTTACATTGGGCATTTTCAGTTCAATCAAATGATCTAGTTCTCTATTCTAGAAGACAAACAGAGGCGTGCCAGGATCGTAAACGGTCTGATAGTATATGTAGGTACAGTACGGATACCATAGCCAATATCGCTTTCGGCGAACTAAGACATACCACATATTCTTATACAAGAAGGACGACTACAAGGTGGCTTCGAAATAAGGCAATAAGGAAGTGATTTAGCTAAAGGAATTGGAAAGGGCACAAAAAAAGAAAAGAGGAAGAAACAGCTGTGAATTGTGTGGTTATGAAATGCAATCATATCCTCAGAAGGATTTCATAATATCCAAGTCGACATATCATCGAAGTCGGCGAAATTGGGTGCTTGTGCCAGATTCCACACTAGATAGTTCCTATCCCGCCAGGTCACAGATTTGCTATTGGGCGTATCAAAATGCTCGAAATCGATCAAATAACTGGATAAAGCAAGACTTCAGTGCCTGATTCATAAGTTCCAAGGAAGTGCGGCAACCCCAAAGATTATGTGAGCGGAAAGTCGGTTACTAACCATTTGTGCCGTTCCCTATCCCAGAGTAGGTTCTGTAAGCCAGTGTCGTCATGTTCCACACCACAGGACACACATTCACTGCAAAATTGACCATAGTTAGATCATCTTCTTTCAAGGGATGATTAGTGGATTGAAATCCTACATCCAGGCCTTCTTAAATGCGCTGCGCAAATTGTCACGCTCCCGGCGTTCCATACTGTTAAAGATCGAAGAGACGTTTACCCCTGGCAGTAGCTCCATTGCAATGAAATGGATATAACCACCAGGGACCCATTCACTCTCATTCTGCCTTCGGTACGTCCAGTCAATTAGATACGGTGCGCTAGAACACCTGGCTTTCGTCAGAATAGAAAGAGCTTCAACCTCGCTGCTACCTCTGTAGGGGATCTCAGGATCTGCCTGTTTGGCTCGAACAGATGGCTTCTTGGTGACTGTTTCCCAGCATGGAATCCTGCATCCATGATTAGAATAAAGCCATTTATATATTGCGTGTCGGACGGACATACTGCATGTGAATTTTGATAGCTGCAGTAGATGGGCCATTCCCGGCAACTTTGTAGGCTACAAATGTAGCTCGTGCCTGTGACGTAAACTTATAAAGCTCACTTGTTTTTTGAGTGTACAAGTCTTCGCTTTCTTTGATCTTTCTTTCTAGCTGCCAAGTAGAACCGGCCGGGAAAGTAAGCTTCAGGCCGATGTAGTCGTCATTGTCAAACCAAGTGAGGTTTGAGGGAATCTTCATGACTGTCGGGAGTTTTGCGACCAACAAGGTGGATGGAGAAGCGTAAAGAAATTAAAACAAGCTGTCGTTTTGCGGTCGTGCAAATGGCAGGTGAAAAGGTTGGCGACTCACGAGGGAGAAGGAAGTAGGGGGCGGTGGTAAAGAGTAAATAGCGGCAAGGAGGCAATGTTCAGCGGTTAACAACCCGGTCAGCTGATCGCGAGCGCAGCGGGCGCTGAAAGCGGCGGCAATTGAAAGTTACTCTTAGCCAACCACTGGTTGGGCGGTTAAGAAGTTCACAGCTGAACGGTGGAGAAATAGTCATCTCCACCAATTGGTAAGCTCAAGTGTATGGCAGATCCGGGGTAGGCTTCCGTAACCGTGCTACAATATACCCACTTCCACCCCAATCTCACCAAACTGAAGCGTAAGTGGTCTATTTTTAAAAAGGAAACTATACGCTCAATAATATCCTCTTGTAAAAGGCGTTTCACTTAGGCGCGAACATCTTCAGAGGATCGAGGCTATAATCCTGATCCCTCCCTAGTCTAAAAGTACCAGTTGCACAATAGCCAACGATGCACCATTTCCTAGCGCTTGGAGTATCGTATATGCCGTTTGTATTGGCTATAATAGGAAATAATTGCGACCTCAACGCGTACAATGTGTGTCCATACTATTCAAGCGCTACCAGCTCATATGTCCCACCTTGTTCATCCAGGCGCCTAGCCAATGGTGACGTGTTCATATGCTTTTCCAACAGCGAGCACACTCCACTGATACCTGCATACATGGTACTGGCTTCATTGACGAGTTTATAGGCCAGAATTGAGAGCCTGAGAGATTGCTGTGCACACCCCCTACAACCATGATGAAACTTCGGGCTCGGGGCTCGTGCACACTAGAAGCAACATGAAAGCCCAGCTGACTCCCTGGGTCTATCCTTCTCATCTCAAATCACGTTCAACATTCTCTATCTCAGTTTTGCCTGAAGGTTCTCGATCGTTCCAAATGAATCGCTTAGGAACAGCCACGGAGCTCCGTGCTGAGGATCTCGTTCAATTCCATATCCCAGAGTTGCGAATTGGAGACCGAAGAACCATAAGCGACTCCACCCATAACATCGAATACCTCGCCACTCTTGTTCGCTGGAACACATTCGAACAGGAAGTGCGCCAAGCTTTCGAAGGTATTCAGTGGCCAACTCATAGGGAGGTTCTTGCTTACGAACCCCCGAGAAATGCAACCGGCAATAATACGTGTCATGAACAACTCCTGTGTGGAGATGAACATACCACTGTGGCACGCTTTGGCCAGAATGTGGGTCATATCATGACATCCGTATTCCAGACCATGAGGCTCGATGCACGATTTGGGGACTTTAAGACTTGTTCCGACGCGGAGGTAGGGGGGAAGGTTCCTGACATCGTTCTTGTTGACGATACTGGGAAACTTAAGGTAATTGGGGAAGCCAAAACCCCATGGATGCACAACATACAACTTCAAGTAGATCAGACCGGCCAGAAGACTCTGAGGCGCTATATTGGTATGTTTCTATCTTCATCCTCGGGTTCTCTTCTGCCTTATATGAATTTTGTTATTTTTCCTTCCTTCCAGAAACTGTCCACTGACTGGTTCGTCCATTGCACAGGCCAGATATCGTCATATATGTTGGAGGGAAGAGCAAAATACGGGTTTCTCACAACTTACAATTAGACAATGTTCTTTAAGCAAGGACCACATCCCAACAAGAGGAAGAAAGGCCAATGGGCCCTGTGGCATTCGAATGTGGTTTACTCTGAGTCGAACTCTACCCATGTCGCTTCAGGTAGCCATCCTATTGCCTATCATAAAAAGGTGTCACTGCGAGAATGTTTTCTTTTCTTAGCAAAGCAGACGACTATTGGCCCTAGATGCGATAACCCTATGGACAGAACCAAGTGGGTTTCCGATAAAAAGACAAGAAGAGATTACAAAGACGAGGACTACATATCTCAGCCCGAACTTTCCTCTGAGGACGATCCTGGCACTGCTAGAGCGGGATCAAGGGCGGAACTCACTCAACCAGGAACACGGGGTCAGTCCACGCATTTGTCAACCCAGCAGACCCTGCAAGGTACCAGTCAAGACCTGTCATCGAAGTCAAAGGCCTCGGCAGCACAAACGCATCAGATGCCGAGCCAGAGCCATGCATCACAGTCTCAGAACTCGGCGCAACCGACTTCGCAATCGGCTAATCAAAGTCGGGCCTCACAGCCTCGGGCTGTCGCGCCACTGGCTCACCAAGCAATCAGCCAGGCTCCTGCCTCACAGCTTCGACCTCCTCGACAACAGACTCATAATGTACACAACACGCGGTCTCGGTCTCGGATGAGAGACATACTGACAGCTACAAGAGACTTGAGCGTAAATGACCCGCGCCAAAGTCAGTCTAACAGATCCTTAAGTCATCAAATTGTGACCGTGCATCAAGATCAAGGAGGCCATTATTATTACGCTGAGGCAGGTGCGCGGCACTATGTGGCATTGTATGAAGACCACCAGCATGGGCCCTACCTCGACAGAGACGGAAAACGCCAGTATGTCAAGATCGAGAAACACACGGTCAAGGATGAGCGTAGATGATTTTGTTTTTTTTTTTTTTTTTTGCTTTGATTAGTATGATGTTTTACAAATATTTCTGCTCTGTCATTGTCCTATGTTCTCTGCGAAGTTTGTGAAATTTGCTGTTATAGTGCCCATCAAGATTTATCAGTGCGGTATGTCTGCAGTTTTGGTCTCGTGTATGAACTCAAATCAGTAAGTTAGTTAACAGTCTTGTTTTCTTCATTGAAGCTTTGTCCCGTGTAATAGCTTATTACCTGATATTTTATGAAATCACGCTTGTGGGATCGAACAGCCCTACTTAGAACTCCTACTTCGGCAATGCCACATGAATATAACTTGTGCTGTGCATAATCCCAAATTCCTAGAACCTTTTACTACTCCCGTCTGTGATACTATAGACAGGGGAATCCTAAACATCGATCTTGAATCGGAGTAATGGCATATATGACATGTTCGAATGCATCTTGATCTCCTGTGGAAGGCCAGTGGCACTCCTGTCAAGGCAAGAGAAATGCTCCAGTGGGGGATGCCAAGAGATGTGATAATAACTCTAGTCTTAAGACCATGGGTTATTATCATAAAGAGCCAAGCAGATATATATCCGCGATCACCTGATTTTCTCTCACCCATCCTTGACCAACCTCTAGCGAATATACTTAAGCTGTTGGCAGATCTCTCAGTAGAGTGCTGAGTTTTTTTGAGCCTGCTTCATAATGTTAAAAAAGTGCACACTCCTCATACACCCAGCATGTTAGCTCAGGGGAAGAGCGCCGGGCTCATAACCCGGAGGTCCCTGGATCGAAACCAGGACATGCTATCTCATTTCTTTTTATTTTTTCCCTTTTCCTGGCGCTTTACCTTTCGCCAAGCTTTAATCGTATTTTATTAGCAATTTTCTAGTAAAACTTGTTTTGTTTTCTTCTCTAGCTACAATGTTCGAAGTCCTTTGTCGGTCGCAATTAAACTTCTACCCACAAAGTGAATGGAACAGCATAACACCTCATCAGGCGAGTGACGACACATTGATCCCCAGCCTATGCCGCTCTACTGCACTAGAATGAGTTCAGATCCTTAGGAATTTTAAAACAACAATAGTGTTCTAAATCCCACAGATAAGTTCCCTTACAGGCTATTGAATGAGGGTGTTTCGGTTAATCTTCTGTCTACCGTCGGATTACTACTCTGATGTACCTAGTTGGGTGTATTAGCAGTATCGGTGCTATATGAGTTGTCTAGGCATGAATGTATGGGTGGTTGCTGGTGATTCATCTGGTTGGATATTCCGACTGCAACAACGGGATCGATCCGGTTGGTTTAAGAGTAGTATATCGGCATCCCGTTGCCGCGTAGTATATTCGATGAGATGTTGTGATTATCCATTCCTGCATCCATAAAACTAGCCGATATTTCATTCTATGAATAATTGGGGCCTGGGAAGAGAATTGACTTGTTCCATCAAGTAGACTGTGCTTCAAGCTAGAGACAGCATATGACATTGCAGATTATTCCTAACACTTTTATGACCTGCATCCTAGAGCTTCCACAATCCTCACAAGACAAAACCATTCTCTGCCATAGCCCAGTAATTATTGTGGACCAGATTTTTGATATCTGGGTTTGCACAAGCCCACAGAAACATGATTGTCGCTGATCGATTTAGTAGATGAAGCCCGCCTCATCAACCCATCTGTCACATCTCATCTCAGACAGTGATACACTTGACGCGAATGTCCATGTTCAGTCCTTCAAACTTCGACTCTTCCGACATCGTATGAAGAATGGTGGAAAAGGTAGTGGATCTCTGTTCTGCGGTGGTCTCCTCAGTGGCACTCAACTAACACATCCATGCTGTCAGACTTGAATATTCTCATGGGTAACAGGTGTGTAACTAACGAGGAATTCCAGGGAAAAGCGGCCTTCTCCGGAATTATCTTTGAGCTTGAGCTCAACGGCGAGAGCCTTGGGAAGCTTATGGTATCTTTCTTTCATCTTAGCGAGGACACCCATGTAGAATTCTTTCAGAGTGTCGATGGAGATGGGGACAGTGCCAAACTCTGTCTTGGTGTTAGTATGATCGTGCCTTTGGTGGAGGTTATGGTACATACGGCCAGTCTCTTCGTGGTGTTCTTCGCTACTAGTCATTTTGGCTTAGGAAAAAGTATTATTGGTGATAGGATTGTTGTGGGTTTGATGTATGAGGGGAAAGGTGTAAAGAAGTGATGGAGTTGTGATGGATGGTGTTGACGAGGAGTTTTGGGATGAGGGGGGAGTAAACAAGGATTACTAGTTGAGCTAGTGGCCAAGGTGTGAAAGTGAATGCAGCAAAGTTCTAGACTCCAGACTTCTGGCCTTTTGAACTTTTCCTGTCGGCTCACTCCGTTTGTGTTACTGATAAATGATACGATGCGACCTGTTGCCTTCTTAGTCATTACTGGTTACAAACGGCCTCTGACCAGGGAGAAGTCAGCTACTTGAGGCTATATGGCCATACTCATACTTTTTCAGGGAGGGATATGATTCACTGATTTACAACGAGATACGGTTAGGCTTGAAGCCGAGATAATGCTTATGCTAAGCTTTATGAATTTCAGGTCTACCGGTTGTGTGCGGGTGAAGGTCCTTGCCAATAGTAGCCTTTAATCTCTAATCAGATATTGGCTATTTTCTAAGCTTTGGGTTTTCATGAAAAAAAAAAGACAGGATTCTTGTGGAACTCACTACGGCATGCTAAAAGTAGGGAGATGCATGGAAGACCATCCATATTAGCTCGCGACACGAAGGCCAGCCAACCCTGGTAGGTTGAAAAGGCTTGGCGAGGCCCAGCAAAAGAAGAAAAAAAAAAAAAAAAAAAAAAAAGTGAACATTTTAAAGCGAGGATGGCAGGACTACTCGGTACTACTAGTGATCGTGAGTTTGGTAGACTGACATGTACTACTACTTAGTACTTCGACTGCCCATTATATATTCGGACCGACCGAGTAGCACGGCCATGGCGACACTATTCACTAATCTCAATCTCGACCCAACATAATCTTCATCACAACATGCCTAGTAGTCAAAAGTCAAACATGGTGCTGTGAGAGACATAGAGTTATATTCTTTTGAATAGCAAGTATACCACTGCCACACATTAATGTGTATAGTGAGGATCTCCGAACTCTTTATCTTCTTCTGACAGGTCATATACTGTCTTGGACTATAATGCAAAAGCTTTGCTTCATTAGCATCAAAAGCGGCCGGGTGGCGCAATGGTAGCGCGCTGCCTTCCGGTAGTGGATGTGGCAGTGGTTGCGTGTTCGAGTCACGTCTCGGTCGTTCTTTTTTCTTTTTCTATTTTCATCTTATAGCACCCACAAACGCTACTTCCACATTTCCTCAATGTTGCTTTCGACATAATTTATGTGGCTACCTATCCATTCATCCGAGTTGAGACATCGTCCCGTGCGTTTACATGAAGGCTCTATTTTTGTCAGCCAGGCCGACTCGTCCGCCCTGCCATATGATATGTGCACGCGTGACGCAGAAATTCGATGTGCGAATGGAGGTCGGCAGTATTTCCTAGGGATGCGATAGATATATAGTCGGATCAATCATACCGAGCAAGTCTTCTCAACGCAACGGTGCAAGCCATTTAAAGACGCCCGAAAGTCCTTAATGCTGCCACCGGTCAGTGGCAGGACAATTGGGTGTCAGGTCTCAGTAGGAACTCAGCGATAGAGATTGTACCAGCCGTAATAGAATCGTTGATGACATCGTGGATGTCAGCGCTGATAGCAGGTAATCTCATCTTTTGTTCTTTTTCTTCCATCACCAGCCAATCTTGCCCTCAATCATCGTGTCTCTTCAATCATATTGCCTGTTTACGAGTGCCTTCACTTGGTTGTCATCATACCGAAGTAACTTGTCTTTGTGACTGCCTTCCCCCTTTTATAGCGTTTTCAGTGCAGCCCTATTTTTCTAAGTACATATCTGCTTGTTCTTTCGCCCCTTATCTCTTTTTCCTTTCGACTACCTCCGCACGCCCACCTCCTAAAGACCTTCGTGGATCTACCCTACGATATCAATTTTTCTTTGGCCTTGAGGCCTCTGGGGGTCGCCGTGTGTTTATCAAAATCTTCCACTGGGGTTCTGCCTTGTTCCAGTCTATCACAGACTGCCAATCCCTCACGTTGTTGGGCTCCATCTTGATGTACCCACGAAACACAGCATGGGAGACACCTGGTGCAAAGTGAGGAGCCAAGTTGATGCCAGTGGGTTGACGTGGGGCTGTCCCTTCAATCATATACTCCGAATAACCCGGCTAGACAAGTAGGGCCACCTGGCCTATCGTCGCGTGGAAAGGCAGAGCACGAGGAGTTCATCGCTCGATTAAGCATTTATAAGGGAAAGACTTTGCGGCTTATAGTGCCTACAGAGACTAATGCCAATTGAGATGATGAAGCACTTGGGCTGAAGATTACCCGGGGTACCAGTGATGGTCATAAGTAAACTTTTCCGGATTCCGACAGCATTGGGCGTCTTGAAGATGACGAAGTAGAAAGTTTGAGAAACAAAAATATGGCATAATTAATGCATTCGAAGGAAGGGTGGACGTCGCGTCCAGGAGATGGCTGGTGCTACCACTGGTTCTGCCGATGAGACCCTTCCGGGATCTGGAGACACTGGGCGCTTGGAAGACGATATTATTGGAGATCACGAGAATACCAAAGGAGAGGATATAAGGCTCTAGAAGCTGTAAACAAGCACATACGACCATAGGGTGTGGAAAACAGGGCTTCCCGTCCGCTCAGCCGTACTTAAGCCACACGCCGGGAGGTTAGTAGTTGGGTGGGTGACCACCAGCGAATCCCTTCTGTTGTATGTTTTTGCTTTCTCTTTTTGTCTCTACCTCTCTGATAACCTCGTCGCTGGTAGCAGAATGGAATCGGGAAAAGCCAGTAAGTAGGTGGTGGATGGGACGAAGCGAGAGTATGGTTGTTGGCCGGGTCGTGTGGATCTATACGTGAGCAAGTAACCCAAAGGCGAACGTCAGCGTCATGAATGACTTCCTGAATACCCACGAGAGAGACTCACAAGTATGCTATGCATATGAGAGTACATGAAGCGCAGATTCAGTCATCCCCACTCTGACCCAAAAACTCAGGAAGTCGCGCAAAGACATCCCCCCACTTCTCTTTACCGCTAATGAGATACTCGATAGCACCGAAAACTTCCTCTTTAGAGGCGCGGACTTGCTTGGTACTGTCACGCTCACGCAGCGTGATCGTTCCATCCTTCACAGAATCGAAGTCGATCGTTACACCGAGCGGAATACCCAGTTCATCGTTGCGGGCATACCTCTTTCCAATGCTTGCAGAAGACTCATCAGCGCGGCAAGATATGCCCAGTTCACGGAGATCCTCAGTAATTTTCTTTGTTAGGGGAACAAAGTCTTGATGAGTGGAGAGCGGGACGATGAGAACTTTTGTGGGTGCCACCGAGATGGGAAGGGATAGAACCTGATATAACACATTAGTTCATATAGATTAAACTGGACAAGGAGATAGTCCAGCAGAAGTCAGAAGCAGGAGTGACAGACACCACGCGCAGGATCGTTAGCCCGATGCCAGTAAACATGCTCTAGCAGACTGTAGAAAATCCGCCCGATGCCGAATGAGGGCTCGATAACGTTAGGAATGTATTCGCGGATGTTTTCAATTCTAATCCGCTTGACGATACTGATCAAGTCTTTGGTAACATCAACTTGTTTTGCCATCTCGGGGACCGTGACAGAAACGACACCCTTTTCTTCTAAAGTCGTAGCTAGAGACTCCCGCTCAGACTGGGAGAGCGAGATGAGCGCCGCTTCAACAGCCTTAGCGTTCTTCTTGAAGAGTGGTCCCAGCTTGGGCTTGTTGATGTCAATTTGCCATTCTTCAACTTTCAGTGGCTCACGCCGGGATTCACGGACGACAAGTGGCTCTTCAGTTTTCTTAGAATGAACGGTCAGATCGTAGGCGCTGCGATCCGCACATCCGACACATTCAATCCAACCGTAGGTGGTCTGGAGCTCGGCGTCCCAGCAGTCAGTAGCATAATGGGCCATCTCGTTTGCCATGTGTTGGCGGAATCGGACTTTATTCGCATCGACGCCGATCTTGAGCAGGAAGAGATAGATGCGGCCTAGGAAGTATCCCAGTGTTTCATTGTCTACCATTCTACTGGCCACTGCCTCTCCGATCGTGGCTTTTTGGAGACTGGTCTTACCGCCCAGCTGGGTTGCGCGATCGAGGAAGCTGAGCTGTAGATCTTTGACCAAGTCAAATTTGGGATGCCTCTTGCCGCCTTCTGGATCGACAAAATGCTCTATCTCAGCCATCAAAAATTCTCTGACGCGGAGGAGGCCAGAACGAGGGGAAATCTCATTGCGGAACGATTTTCCAATTGAGGCAGACGCAAATGGCATCGAGTTCTGGTTGTAGTCCAGGAGTTTCTTGAAGTTTAGGAACTGGCCTTGGGCTGTCTCTGGTCGGAGGTATCCCGGGGAAGCACTGCTGGGACCCACTGTTGTCTTAAACATCAAGTTGAAGGGAACCGGTGGCGAAACCGGTGTGTCCCCATCCGGGTTTCGAATGTCATACTTTCCAATCAATTGGCCGAGCTCAGGTCCATCGTAATTATCAATCTAGGAAGTTCACGATAAGCATTGGATGTGAGTGGTAAGGGCTTCTCCATGCATATATACCTTGGCAAGCACTTCCTCGTATTCTGCCACAACAGAGTCCTCCAGTTTCATCGCCTTGATGTCGCTCACTTTGGGACCCTTCTTTTTCTTTTTGCCTGAGCTATCGGCGTTATCACCCTCACCAGCAATTCCTCTAGCTGCTTTGTCTCCTTTTAGTCTTGCCCCAAGGACAGCCTCGATGAGGTGGTCGGCACGTAGAAAATCCCCTTTTTTCGAATCCTTGCACATCCAGTCCTCGAACTTATCAACATGACCGCTTGTCTTGAAGACCTCTTCCGGCGTGAGAATAGTGCAATCAAGTTCTAGCATATCCTCCTGTAGGACGAAGTGCTTCCGCCATAAGTCCACAATGTTCGACTGGAGCGCACATCCGGGAGGTCCATAATCGTAGAGACCCCTGCTATCACCTTTAAGATTTCCAGAGGTTCGATAGATTTCGAAAGATTCTGTATAGAAAAGTCGGCCCTTTAATAGCGACTCAAAGAGTGTACGGTCAAAGGGATCGCCATTACGGGTTATGAGCTCAGCCATGGCGAAGACTTGGGACGGGGTGATGGGTGGATGGAGGAGGAAACCCCTCCAAGTTGATGTGACTCGACGCAATAAAAGGCCCACCACCAGGCAGGGATTCAGGTGACGTGAGTTGTCATTGGGCCAAACGCCGAAAGCGAAGGCCTTCACGCATGGCGGTCCGAGCGTCGTGCGGCTGCGATTGCGGCTGCGGCTGTTTAGTATGACTCAGTACCTGACCATTAGGAATGATATCTGTATGAATTGAAATAGATATACTCGTTTGCATAATAATTGTATAGCGATAATAGTAGGACCGCACCACCCGGAATTCAATAGCATACCAACCAAGCATCGGATAACCAGAAGATATAGTTCTTGATCTAAAGAAAGCTTCACGTATCAAGCTGCCCCGATGAGGGGTCTGATCTCTAAGTAAAGTATAAATGATAAAGATACCTTTCTAGTGGAATTCATCGTCCATCTTGAAGAGCCGCATTTTCCCACCAGTCCAACGGGATCTTCTACGGCAACATTGCACCATACAAGACATCTAGATCAACTTTGATGGCACCAGAAAGACGGTGCCAGTTGACAGAGATTCAGGTGATGCCATGCAACGGTCAAAGTGCCTCAACACATTTTGCTTGTTGTATGACTTTTCCGGTTTTGATATTCCCGTAAAGCATCTTTCTCATTAGCATATCATCTTGCTGCCGAAAAAGCACTCGGTCTTCATTGGATAACATTTACCGGAATATTGGCTCTCATTGAATTACTGATGCGCTCAGGACGCGTCGCCCAGGCAAGGTTTGTTTGATAAAGAAAAGTATATTGGCAAAATACAGAGTGACTAATAGCGCCACATATTGACTTCCAGTCCTGTGAGACCACGATACGTCAGCACTAGTAGCTTTGTGGGATAACCAACTTACGACAAGCAAATTTCGCCGGCAATTATGGAGACGAGGACCTCACACAAATTTCATACTGGCCACCTTCTTGAAAACTGTCTTGCAAGTCCAAATGCTACCATGGCTAGGCGTGTTGACCTAACATGGTTATAAAGGTCTACTCTCGTGCATGACAACGGCAAGCGGAGGGACAAGAATAGATTGCCGTGCTGGTTTGATATCCATACTGTCTACTGCGCGGAAGAGCGGCGATAAAACTAGAAAACAACTATGATTCTAACCAGCGCACAAAGGGTGTGTTGTAGGCGAACACATGAACCTACACGTCTTTCTCTATTCCAAAATACCGAGCAACGTCCAAAAGACCTGATCCCTCGATGCCGATCCAGTAATCAACAAATCCCTCTTCTTTAGCTTGGGCAACGCGTTCCGCATCCCAAGCTTCTTCCAAAGGTCGCTCGATATAAATTGTCTGGAACCTGCACTTTTTGGCGGCTTGCAGGTCGTGAAGATGGGCAGCGACAAGGCAACACTGCGAGGTCTCTAACCCGAACCTGCGCGCAGCGGCATGATAGACTTCTGGCGCTGGCTTGTAAGCATTGAAGTGCTCTGCACTGCTTATATGCTTGAAAGGCAAAGAACCGTGCCCCACTAGATCTTCGAGAAGTTTGACATTACCGTTGGACAACGTGGAAGTCGGAAATTTGGTGTTGAGCAGCGCAAGGCCTTGAACACTGTCTGCGTACGGATCGAGGCGATGCCAACAGAGGGTCAAGTGTTGGAGATCGTCGTCATTGAAAAGATCCCGCAGACGCCTGTCGGTGAGGATATTGCCCAGAGAGACGCGGTTGTGCTCGTCTACAGGGACAAAGGGCTTGGATGGATCAAAGGTGCGTCCGAAGTTCATATACGAGCGGTGCCACTCGTCTGTGATTTCATTCCATGTCGAGGGCGCTAGGTCGGAGACACGGCCTCGCACATCCACAGCAATCTCGCGAGCCTGGTCTTGCAGGGCCCTTTCTGCTGCAGCCTTCAGCTGGTTCGCAATGCAGAATCTCCATTCAACGACTGTGCCCAAGACGTCGAAAAATAGCATCGAGGGAGTGCCAGGTCGAGACATCTTGACCAGGGTTTCTTCGAGATGGCACAGGATGAAAAGTACAGTCGGATGTATCTCAGAATGTGCAGAGTATCTTCTCCCGTCGTCCAGGTTAGGCGGAAAAGTACCCCTTCACTTGATCTCGGCACCCATTGGACTTGCACATGCGAATTGACCTCTTTGTCTGCCGCGGGATCCCCCGATGTTACCAGCGGGTTACCGGAACAGGATCACCGCCAGCTCTGGGTTTAAAATCCTCGGTCAGGTTCCGCTTTCCTCCGCCAGCCCGTTCTCACCCGATCTCTCTGGAGAATGGATGCGCCATTTCTCAGTCTATTCAGGGCTCCCTGCGATAAACTATGCCTACACTACATCTGTATTGTAAGTCATCGCTGGTATCATTCCACGTCTGGGAATGGCTGTTGGTTTTCTCCTTCTGTCGGCTCTACATAGCGCAAGACACCTCTAATTGATGCATGAAATAGTTGCACACCCGTAGCTCTATGCTTATCCACAACTCGTCGATCCGTTAGCCCAGGCCCTGACGCCGCGGCGGGAGGCCAAACAAGCTCACTACGACAAGGCTTGGCTGTTCCCTCCGCCAGACGGATGAGGGAAACACTAGAGGGCTACATCGGTCGTGGAAGACTGCGTAGGGTAGCATGAGTTCGTGCGTCACCTCCCTTTATCTTCGCTATCTAATCGTGTCATTAATCACTGCTGAGCAAAACCTGCGCCAACTTGACATAATTCTCTGCCTCACTGAGGGCCTCTAATTGCCCTTTATTTGGCCGATTGCGATATCGAGACTTGATTATATTGATTTGCCTTTGGAAATCCAGTATCTGCAACGCCACAAGGCTGCAGAGCAGGTGTAGCTTCTCACGTCGGTTGGCGCGATACGTGGCAACCGAAACATCAACTGTAATCGGGGGACAGGCTCACTTCCCCGCTGCGAGGAGCCTGTATCGCTCAGACTACCCTGATGCATCGCCTTGCAACAGTTGGCCATCCTGCCGCAGATGACTCCGATCTGTCTAGCCGCCATGGCAAGCAGCATGTTCTGCTCTTCTCGGGTCGCACATCTGTCGCATGAGATGAACACGGCCAGAGTCTCAATCGAGTTGCGCAGGTCAGCGAGGAGCAGATCAAGGCGGTCCTCGCGCGAAGAGCTTTTGGACGACAGCCGTTCGAGAAAGGAGACGGAATTTAACAGACAACAGTTGTCGGACTCTGTACGTGTCTCACCCAAGGGTTCAACAGGCAGCATTTCAGATATCAAGCCCATCTTCACATGTACACCGGTAGTCGTCGTCCAAACAATATCATCTTGACTCAGGTAAACACCTTGCCAACATTCGGCATCACCTGTGCTGCTGCTATTCTACGGCCCGAGTAGCGACGCAACAAACAAGGGATCGGCCGTTGGAATTCCCGGGAGCTGGTCCTGCGCAGCCTCTGTAGCACTGCGCCTTCTTGCTGAAAAGGGAGGCCTCCTTACTGCCAAGTCAGCAGCAGCTATCATCTATGTCAGCCAAGGATACCTAGAGCAAACAGAAACCAAAGGGCTCACGGGATTGAATACCGCCACTGCTTGATCTGGATCTACCAGGTGAGTTTTGCTGCATGGGAGTATCCATGATCCATGGCATAAACAGCGACTCGTCGATACAGCCATCGTTGAACTTATTGCAGTCCAAATCATCCAAGGATAAATCTTGGCTGGATTTTCCCTGGTTGTCTGCTACAGCGAATACAGTCCGAATGGAGACGCTGTTGTTATGCCGAATAGCCTGGTCCGATGTAGTGCATTAGCGACTCCTGTAGTTAAGTACAGTACACCAAGCTGTTCGGTTACGTACTGCCCGCGAGCCTTTGTTGGTGTCCTGTCGCTTGTTATGCCCGTGACTCTCGGGTTAAATACACTCCAATCCTATCGCCTCGCATCTGTAGAATCTCTTGCGGTCTCCTGAACAACGCACCTATAATTCTACTTTGTTAGGGCTCAATGACACGGCACACTGGAGAGGAAGACGATTATCAACCCGTGGTTGCGGGCACGGACCACGGAATAGGAACAGCCGTACCTTTCGCGATCGACAATGTATGCAAGCAACACGTATATTGTCTTGGACGCTGCGGCTCACTGCAGCAACTGGATCTGGGTTCTCAATGAACTCCAGAATCTCCCGGTCGAGGCCGGTCGAAACCAGCATACCAAATAGCTCACAGAGATGTTTGCGGCTGCCGCAGATAAGGTGCAACGTCTCGGGAGGGCTGAAAGTAGTCTGGGGAGGGTAAGCATGAGGCCGCCCGGGGTGTTGAATAATACTTGCATGAGCAATGTGTACAATTATAGATACGCGCTGGGGTACTTTTGATCGTCAAGTCAAGTAGCTGTATGCTGGATCTATAGCCCATATGGAGTATTCTGCACACCTTTCAGGTCTGAATCGGCCCCTGACGATATGGCGTCCAACGCGTGGCTAATCGCCTCCAATAATGGCCAATCACTTACCATGTGTGAGATCCAAAGCTGTCATCACTGTGGGCTCTAGACTTTGAGAAGCTCTGAGGTCAGGACCTGCGGATTTATACCCTGGGAGAGTCTAGAGTTGGTAGGGCCATGCGGCCGCTTTCGCTGATCTCGGCTCTGATTGAGCTGATTGGAGGCCAGAGACTGACCTGAACTGTCAGTTCTAACTCCTCCTTGTGATTGGAGACGACGTGTGGTGGTGGCGGGGAAAGCTGGCAGGCTGCAAAGCTGAAGAGTACACAGCTCCAGCTCCGCGTAGCCGAGGTTTCCCACACTTCCCGAGAGCCGGCAGCCTTCGGGGCAGGCTCGTCACTCCCAGTTCCAGCCCTCTCTCCTAGTGTTCGCGGAACTTTCAGCAAGAGCTCAGTATATAAGAGTTCATCATCGTTTATAGACAGTTTGCCACTCCTCTCCAACTACTCAGGTAGATGGCTATATATCTTTCTACAGACTATACAAATACAGCTAGCTGGAGACTACAGTCCCCTGTAAGTTATTTAGTATACCAGTATCCTTCTATATTCTCACCAGACTTGACAGATATATCAGGGCGCGCGTCCCGATTTATACACAGGCTCTAATTAATTACTTTTCTAAAGCATCTATTTTATAATAGAAGATAGATTAATTCCGTCAAGCTTATCTATCCTGGCCATTTTCTTTCTTCTCCGTGGACAGGTATTACTCCATACTGTACAAAAAAAATAAAGCAAAAACATACAACAGAAGGGATTCGCTGGTGGTCACCCACCCAACTACTAACCTCCCGGCGTGTGACTTAAGTACGGCTGAGCGGACGGGAAGCCCTGTTTTCCACACCCTATGGTCGTATGTACTTGTCTTCCCGTTGATGTGTCTAATATAACTTAAATAGATAAAGAAGGGTTTCTAGTTGTCGCCCACTATATGCTCTTGAGGATAGACAAAATCCTATATCGAGTATATAAAAGTCATGCAATCCTACTAACATCAATATATTCGATGCAACCTCCTTTGTTTACTCATAGAGGTCACTGAACAGAGTAAGTAATTTGACAAATTAATGAAAATCCAATAATCAAAGGCTCGAGGTCCCATTCTTCTCGGCCCAAGACAGCGACATCCAACAGGTGTGTCCCCTTTCGTAACGCTCTGAAAGATGCTAATGGAAGTGTGTAAATTCCGAGCATATTTGCTGGAGCTTCCCTCCCTCTGTTCGACCTCTTTACCTTTTATAGGATTCCCGTAGCATCCTTTTCGCAAACAATTTGCCATTATTCATCTACTCGTCTATATCGAAAAGTGTGACTCCCAGCTCACGAACTGCTTCTACCAGCCGTGATCATCGTCACCTGCACCGCAGCAAACCTGGTTCCGTTAGTGTACGGCTGGCGAAGAAAAATGTTTGACGGACAAAGGAGAGGAGGTATGAGGGGACCAAAAAAAAAAAAAAAAAAAAAAAAAAAAAAAAAAAAAAAAAAACCTACGCTGTTGCCGCCGCAAAAATCTCCACGCGCTTCGCCTTGACCATCAACCCCAGAACCAGAACAAACACTATGTTATAGACGAATATAGTAATCAATACTGCCGTCGGATCCTTCAAATAATACAATATGATTATAGAGGTTGCAGGAAGCAATCCCGAGATAATCAAGCTGAGCCCATACGTCCAAGATTTGATTGTTCGGTCATTGTAGTACCAGACGCCGGATTCGAGATCTTTCCGTTTCTGGGCGTAGCATATGTGCATTAGTAGGTAACGTTGGTTATAGTCGAGGTATCGCTCAACGCCAGGGTACAGTGACAGAGATGAACGAGGAGGGATAAGAAAAGCATAACATACGGTATCTTTCACCCCCGCCACCCGATGGAACCACGAAACGACTCGCGTATAGACAAACCGGGTGAAACGGTCTGTCTCCTCATGTCGACTGCATAATGCTACCAGGTCGCTCTCATTGTCTTGACCCCATTGGTCTGGAGGCGAAAACACCATGTTTCCGCATTCTTCGTCTCCAAGCCATGCTCGAAACACCTCTAGGTCGGTTTTCTCGGGCTTGTTGAGGCGGAGAAGTTGGTACTGTTGGAGCAAGGCTGCGTCTAGAGTTGAAAACCGTTAATGCAATGTTTGCAGAAGAATAAATGAAAGTAAGTATTCTGTATACATGATCGGCCGCAGTCTCTGTGCTTACTAGGCGGGTGACAAAGCCTATGTGCAAGTAGTGAAAGGAGAGGGCTGGAAGCAGAAGATGAAGCATTGACAATAACAGTCTAATAAATGACCTTTACATATAAAGCTAAAGAAACGAAGAACGGGGACGTACTGTACTCATTCAATAACTTGCGTGCTTCGAGGACCTTCTCCCACTGAAACGGGTCCTCTGAAGTCTTGATGTCCCACACAGAGAATGGAAATGATTTCTTATCCTCGGATTTATTGTCCTCCACAATGATAGTTCGAAGTTCATTCTCGATGTAGGCGACCTCCGCCTGGAGATAGAGCAAGTTCTTTGCATTAAGCTTGGAAAAGCGTCGATAGATGGAGGACCCGGGGTCGCGGGTCATTAGGGCAGCTAGCTTGTCGTAACCTTTGGGAATGGGAGTCGACATATTTATTGTTGGATTGTACCTTTATTGGGAAGTGTGGCAACGTTTCTGAGTACAGAAAGAGAAGGAGACGAACGAGTCGAAACGAGACGCCGACCCTTAACTTGTATGGCAAGATATAAAAAGTCACTGGATCTTGTGCTTAGTGTGGTGCTAGAGAGGCTAAGTGTCATGCTACCTTTGTAGGAGAGCCTGGCCAATTATATATCTGAACGGTCAGTAGAGCATGATCGCCTGCATGATGTCCTGAAATCAATGCGAAGCCTGATGATGTTTGGCACCAATGAGGATTCCAGCCTTATATTTTGAGTATTGTGGCGTACAGTGGGTAGCCTCTATTTTCTGATTTAACCAGACTAGATATGTATATTTACACCGATTCCCAGCCGAAGATTTTCGTGAATCCTAAACATGACACAAATCAGAGTGCGGCTACCCGTAAGACACAACTGCACCGAAACTACCAATAGTATGTTCGCGGGGACCCATACCAGCGTATAAAGGGTCATGTTGAATTGACGCATGGAACGAAAGCGAGTGCAAACAAGCTCCACGTCCGTCCGCCCATCCTCAACTAGTTGAGCCTACGGACATCGATACGATTCACGAAGCTTCTTCGCAATAGCGGGGTCCACTCGATACAACTCCTGCTGCCGCATAGAAGGCCTTCCGATGAGAAGATCATATTCGACACCTTCTACAACGTAGAACGTTGTCCGGTAAGGCTTGCTGCGCCCACAGAAAGACCACTGGACTTCTGCAAGTCCAATTGGTTTGCGATCTCCAAGACCCAAAACTTGGACAGAAGCCCCTGGACAAGGCTCGATGCTCGTTCCAAGTCTCTGATGTGCCTCTTTCGATATAATGTTGGTATCTGCGTGGAAGCTGAGCAACATACATCGACGCAGCTGCTTCTTTCCAGGCGGACCGGCCATGATATCATAGACAAAGTCGCATTGATCCAGCTCCTTTGATAGCTGCGAATTTTGTGATAAAGCGGAGTCCAGTGACTCTGTTAGTTCTACGCGTCCCTTGGAGAGATCGTCGTTATGAACTGGTGTGTGGTCATTTCGATCGGAACTATACCGCTCTACTATCTGCTCATCATGTTGCAGCTGGCATGGCTCGTCCTGCTGTTGCTCCTAGTGATGTCTCAATACTTGATTTCTTGGTGTGAATATAACAGGTAGTGATTATTGCAGATCTCACCGTTTTTCTTCTAAGAAAGTTAAAAGATGGCAGAACTGCGGATGCAGTATTGTAAAATAGTCGGCCATAGAAATATATAGACAGGACTATTTTGTTGGATTCAGTAAGGTTCGAAGACGGCGAATGTTGCATTGACCGGCAGGGTGCCTTTTGCAGGTCAGAATCGGTGCATAGTCAGCCATTAAAAATAACTGTGGGGTCCTAATCACGTTTTCATGGTCGTGCGATTGGCCGGGCGTTGGCTTTTCGTCCTCAGTCTGGTCCTGCGTTTGCCAGGGTGCTAGGGCAAGAGAACCCTAATCAGTATCATTCAGATGGAGCTGAGTGAGTGAGACTGGAGCCATCAGTAACTTACCAAAGGTGCTCCAGGACATTATAGAGGGGACTGAGGGTGAAATGACGTTGGAACATATCCCGGTAGCATTGCCGCATCATAGAAGAGCCCGGGTGTGGACGGGCCTTATAGCTGCGAGAAAAAGAGCGCCACATTCGTAATGAGAACAAATATCAAGGTCATCCCTTTTTTATTTTAAAACATGCATAGCCTCCGGCGATGCGCTGACTACCGTGTATACCTTGTTGATCGTGGCAAGAATGGGTAGAGCACGAAAAGTTCCGTTAGCCTCTTTCCGGCGCGGCAGTGCTAAAATTATCATTGGTAGCTTGACTCGCCTGCCCAGCCTCGTCTTCGTCACTTGGACGTGCATGCAAGGCTGAGAGAGGCGAAAACACCAACCATAGCGTGACACGCGGCAGCTAATGTTGCCAATCAGATCTAGCAGCTGTTCCACACTTGAGTCACATCAAACCGAACATCACCGACGACTAAAACTTCGTAGTCCTACACCATGAGATCTGCTGTAGCGCTCCAGAGTGGACTATACTTACAGGGTGTAGGGAGATACCGAGAGGTGGAAGAGATAGCTAAGGCAAAGGTGCTGCAATGCATTTAATCTTATTTGCAAGATGGTAGAAAACCAGTGGAATGTATCAACGAGAAACACATGTAATCTCAGCCTTGCTGACCTTACCGCCGAGCCTCTGGATCGTGGTTTCCACTGCTTTCCCTGGCAGCCCGACCTTTTGCGACCTCAGTTTCACATCTCTTGCGCTCTGCCTCTGAAGCCTCTCTCTTGGCCTCTGCGTGTCGTTTGTCTTGTTTATCCCGATCCTCTGAAAAAGGTTTTAGCTTCTTGCGCTATTCTCAGTGCTCACTGTCTTACCCTTAGATTTTCGTGATGTACCAATAGGGCACAGGGATGGATTCCGATCAGAACCCATCCCCTCATGAATGAAGCTCCTCTGCCCCAAAATGGCGTGCGCACCAAAAGTATTTGGAATCACATCATCTACATTCTCCAGAAGATAGAAGTCCTCCTCCTCGCTTATCTTGGAGGCATGAAGCCAGATACGCAATTTTATGCATTGGCGGACCGTTATCAATCTCCCGTTCGTGAATTTGATTCTCATCGCAGAGCCCTCACGGATAGAGCCCTCACGGATGGGCAATATCCCGAGGCACTGAAAGCCCAAAGGAGTGAGGATGTTAACCTCCAACTCTCCCGCAAAAGATGCCAGTAGAGTCTGCTCGGTTTCATGAGGTCCATCACAGCAGATTATAATAGACTAAGACAAATGCTAGTATAAGTCATTTGGGTTACCAGTCAAGGGGGAAACGGTGCCATTGCGATCGAAGGTCCATACCATAGCTTCGTGATGGCTTTGCCTAGACGATCTTTGGTGATGGGCAAGCACTACTGTTCTCAAATGAGAGATTGCTTTGGTCCTTCCGGAGTAATCTACCGGACTTATATATTAGCAGCATTGTGAAGCCTTGTGATTGAGCCGCAAGTATCAGTGTCGTTTGCTGTCGGACCTGTTTATGCAGCGTGGAAGAGGTGCATCTCGAGGGAACAGAACCTCGAGGCTGAACAGGACCAGTTCAGATCAAGAACCGTCTCCGCCAGATAAGGCTTACCCATGTTCATCACTGAGACTTTTTCATGGGGAGGAATGGGCTGCTATGGAAAATTTGGGCTCGCTCACGAGCGTGAGGTTGAATGCAGATGATTGGGGGCCCTAATGCAAGCAAGTCGGGCATCAGGAAACGACAGGAACAGATGTTAATGGCTGGTGGATGTCAATGTTATGAGTTATATATTATTTCACTCTACTTGAAGCTGTGGTTCATCTCACGTGGAGGGTCAGTAACCGCCAACTGTCAGCAATTTGGTTGAGCAATTGCGATGGCGTGCGTCCTCGCCCTGGCGCTTGTGGAACAACTAAGTCTCATTACTAGCAACATGACCATTCTCTTGCATAAGAGAACAAGGATATTATTGGTAGAGATAAGGTAAAAAAGCAAATTACATTTATCTGCACTTGACGTGGTTTTCACGCCGCCGCCGCCGCCGCCACCTCGTGCAACTGATAAACGAAAGCTGACCAGCCGCACAACCCCGCAGGACAAAAATGGATTCAGGACTGCACACAATCAACACAGCCTGTCGACTTAGATTATAGGGGGCATAGCCTCACAGGTTGAAGCATTTTCACCATCGTTTTTTGTTCAAGATGATTGCGCACCATAGCCGTGGGGATGTCGGAACTTGGTTGCAGCAGCTTGTATCGCGAGATCGTGGGCAAGCCGATCAACACGTCAAATTGATCATTTTCGACCACATAAAAGTCCGTTTGGTAAGTTTTGCGACCCTGCGCAAAGCGCCAGTCCACACAAACTTTTCCGATCGTTGGAATGCGGGTTGTGTCCCCGGCTATTCGGAATGGCATCAGGGACTCCTTGCAAGGCTCCAGCGGTAGGCCGAGTTTGTCAAAAATGACACTTCGTATGATGCTGACCTCGGCCTGCGTATCCATGGAGATTCTCACACCTTTCTTCTCTTGACTTCTGGTTATCAGATAGCCGTTTCTGGTGAATTCGAGCCGTGCGGACTCATTCTCGTCAGTGATAACTCCGGACTGTGGCTGATCATTCGGCAACAGAGGGGTTGTGCTGGCGGTGTCGTGCCCACTGGGTGTTTCACTCGGAGTGAGCACGCTAGACGGAACACTACTCGGTAGTTGTTGGTCCGAAGGACTCGACTCGCCTGAATCTGTGTGCATGGGAGGTCCTTTGGCTAGGCTGCTCACTAGAGTCAGTTGTCCCTCTGTTGTCCCTACATCTATTGGGATGTCCACTGACTGCTGCTCGTTTGGAACAGATGCTACCTCGCCCACGCTTGCTCTACCATGTGTATGAGAGCCGTTGACCGATGACTCATTGCGCTGGGATCTGTCATGAGGGTGCTCTGGGCTTAAAGATACCGCTTTTTGAACCCAGCAACCTGAATAAATACGGGGTACTTTGAAAAGGGATACCAATGCCGTCAGCAGCCACCATAGTATCGCCCAAAAAGGTCGAAAGACAGCAAGGAGTTGGGCGAGCCAGCGTGGACGCATCATGTCTGTTGCGTGGTTTTGGGCTTCTACTTCTGAAGGCAGCAATTAGAGACGGTGAGAGAGCCAATGATGGCTTCGAAAGGGCTGGAAATGTCCTACCATCCTGCGACCGAGAGCCTTGTCTTACTGGCATCTGGGTTCAGATCAGGGGATCCTTTGTTGTAGCACACAAAGCCCAAGTACAAGTGATTAGAATGATGACTGCGGACAATGACAAATGAGAAGAGATCTGCTGTGTTGAGCAGGCGAGTCAGAAGTGGTCGTTCTAGGTAGAACGGACGGGATAGCTAAGTGTGTTGTCAAGAGGATGTTTACCAGAAGAGGCAAAGGACTGCAGACACGGAGTGAAAAAGTGAGGTAGATGGAAAGAGAAGGCCAAGAGGGCAGGGGACGACTTAAAGTCACTAAGGGTTTCGAGAGATTCGCGCGGGTGGTGTTGCAGTGGAAGTGTGGCTGTAAAATAATTAGTCGCCACAGGATATTTCTTGAGCCACAGGCCTGGGCCATTTTCACCTTTGGGTTTGATCAAGTCGCACATAATGAATACACGATTTGTATTTATTGTTGCGTCACTCAGATTGACGTGGCCTGCTAGATGGCCAATGGTAAGTAGGAAATGCGGATACCAGATTACTTTGGTGTCCAATGAGTGCTATGCCTCCCTAACTCACTCTTACTAGAGTGTTTTTCTATTACAACGCTAACTTATTTCCGGCAAATAATGCTCCTAGAAGAGGTTCCTAGATCCATTCATCCAAACCCAGCTGCTGGCGACCCACGGTACGTCTAAAATGGGGCCGATGGTTCCTGCACATCAATCTATCTTTGGATAACTGATCCGTCTTCATGTTCCTGCCAAGGAATTAGATTATAATGAGACAATAAACATAAGGGTTGTTTTCCCGGATGAGACGCCATTAGAAGGGACCTAACAGCTTCATCCCCATTTTCGAAACATGAAGGCAGCACTTATAGAGCGCGGATCCTGACGTAGAACTGCACAGTGGGAAGGTACTGAAGTTATACAATCTAGTAAGCACAAACGAAACGTAACGGAGGAAAGGTAGGGTTGATTCAAATGGTTAGATTGAGGTTGTAAAGAGGAACTGAAAACATACAAGTCGGTAGGTGATCAAGTATACAGAGGGTGAACCCGAAGACTCACTGCACGTACTTTACGGACCCGACAAAAGTACTCCGTTCGCTGCCGTGACCCCCGGATGATTGTCGGGGATTGCCGCCCCAACTCTGCAGATTCGACTGCGGTCACGGGAACCTGACACACGAGGAAATGGGGGCACTTTGCTTGATCTGTAAGAATGGAAGTGGGTTATGGTTCGCAGATGATGCGTGACCTAGTAGTTCTATTGTAGCAGCTATTAATCTGCTATTTTTCATTCTAATCACAACAGAGCTTGGTTAACGACAGCACCACATAATGTCTCAAGTTATGTGATTGCAGCAGCCACCCCAGAATACTAGATTTAGCACCTCGCAATGAGCGATTAGTCGGACGCATGGCAGCTCCGTAGGTTGTGTTGAGTAGCTTGGTCCCTGGACATTGGCCCTGGTCTAGGCCATGGAATGCTCTTGTCAAGAACCCGGCCTTTAAACCAATATGATTCAGTAGAGGCATGAATAAAATACAGCACTTGCACTTGTTCCGGTCTTTACCTGAGTCATCTATTATCCATTTTCCAACTATCTGAAAGTACTTTAGTCAACCGAATCCTCAATCTTGATGAGAAGCAGGCAGCAATAGAGCGATGGATGCCGATCTCTTTTGAACGTGTTCATTCTTTCCAATTTATCTTGTGAAATATTATGAAATGTTTTTTTTTTATTTATCGCAAATTCATTGTTTTTTACCCCTCCTATTCATAGACTTGTTCTTCATTTGTTTAATATCTAAATAACCCATTCATGCATTCATTTTATTTATCTGAACCTTGATTCAATGCAAAAAGCCACCTGCCTGTTCTTTCATCCCAATAATATTCAAGTGCTGGGGGAGGCGACGCCGCCTCACTCGGGGATGTTGACCGTCCGGATCCTGCTTGCTGGGATGCTTCTCGGCAGGTTTCTAGGCGTTCCTCGTCATCTGCAAGGACAACCGAGAAATAACTCTCTACCTTTCCGTTTCTGCTCGTCTGTGTCATCATCGGGCGTTGCTTTCCCTTCTCTTTGGGGAGGTGGTAAGAGGGGGGTTCCTACGGTAATGTAAGTCCTTTAGGCTCCAATATTTCTCCTTTGCTGCCCAGCGCGGCTGCTTAACCTGCACAGAGGGCATACTCATATGCCATCTACCATAAGAGGGTAATTAGCTAAGCAGGTCCTTTTGGCGGCTTGCCTAGAAGAGCTTGGGGTGCCCCACGTGATATTCCCTGGGGTCTACTGTCAGGTACGACATCAATATGCATACATCTCTTTATGTCCGACTAAGCTCCCGCAAAATGCAGGTGGCATCTGGTATTAACAGCATGCATAACTCAGTCCAATCCATCATAGAAGTTACACGATCGGAACCCCTAGCTTGCGTGGCAGTTGGGGTTGCACGAGACAGGAGAAAGACCGTTGACGATTATGTCAGATTACAAGACCATTATCATTGGACGACGGACTGTCGAGCATCATTGAATCTACATCTTTTCTTAGCAGCAGACGAAATACACAGAAAAGTTCAACAGCATTAGCTTAGCGGATGCTTCAGAGCGACGGGAATGTATATCCATGCCCAAGTCCATGCACCGAAGGCTCATCCATATCCTACTTAGTTTGGGATGGCAAAATCACAACGTACAGTACCAAGCAGCTTCCAACCCGTGTGCAGGAGACTGACTATACTCCTCATCAGGAAGGTACATATTGTGATATGCTGTCTTTACCTCCTCATATCTAGAAAGCTGGATTGGCGTTTGTGAGCAACTGCACGAAGTAGGCCTACGAGCATAACCACGTCAGTCTTATCAATGATCTAACTCTTAGCCAACAAGCTTGATCGGACAACATACCTGAAACCAAGTCCCTGCCTCAGGCGCCGGCTGCAAGGCATCGCTATACCCGCAGTGCGCGTCGTATCGAGTAGCCGAGCTGTCAGAGGTGCCGTCACTCTCGCCTCCAGGCTTCACCCAGACGAAGGCGTCGACGAGCGCATCGCCGGTGCTGGTGGTCGGGCGCACACCGAAGCCGGTGTTGATGACATTGCACCAGTCACCCCAGGCCTGCTGGCCCGTGGGCTGTTTGCCGTTGCGGCCTAGAAATTAATGATTCATGTTAGCCAGAGTTAGGTCGGAGGAGGAGGACGGGGTGTGAGATTGCGCATACCGGTATCGACGATAAAGTAGGCGTCGAAGCCCTGCGCCTCTAGCAACGGGGCAATAGCATTGATATACTGTTGCTCATCGCAGACGCTGTTTCCCTGGGTGTAGGATGGACAAGAGGAAATGGTCCAGGCATTGTAGTTGGCGACATTCGTGGCCAGGCCGCGCACCGCGGCGGGAGAACTGGCGTTCTTGTAGACGCTTGCGAACAGGTCGGCGGCGGGTTGTTGATTTGCGGGCCAGCCGAGCCAACCGGCGTGTCCTGCAGGATCCTTGGTCAGAATCTGTCAAGAGGGACTAACAAGGCGACGGGGGATAATGCGCAGCTTACCAGCGTCAAGATACATGGCCACGTTGGGAAGATTGAGCTGAGTTAGTGCATAATTTGTACATTCAAGATAGGCACTTTGAGCATTGGCACATTTGGCTACGTTCAGGTTTGTCACCAGGTTGGCGAGACTGTCGGGCTCTGTTGGAGGTGATATTTAGCGTTCAGATGCAGTAGATAGTGTCCGAATTAGTGGAAAGACACTCACCAATAACCAGAAGGGTATGAACATCCGAATACTGCACAAGAACCTCGCGGATGGAATCAATGTAGGCCTTGTAGTGTTCAACCCCGTTGTCCGCAATCGAATACTCGCCGTTACTGGCGAGAGCGGCGCAGTCGCGGTCAGGGAGGTCGTACACCACAAATTGACCCGCGATAGGGGGGCTTGCTCCGGCAGAGTTCTGAGATTTGATGTCGGCCAGATAGTCCGCCATGGTAGGAACTTTGTCGGCAGTATCCCTGGAAAGTGTCAACCCGAGTCTGATACAATGACATTGTGGAATGAGGAAGCATACAGCCAGACGAAAGAAGGTACCTTGGCTGCGGCGGTTGCCGCCGCCTGGAGCGAGGAAAGCGAACCAGTGAGCGATGGGATCGCCAAAGATGCGACTTCCGATGAGTAGTACGGGCTCACGTAGAGCTGGTATCCGCTGAATGGGTTGCCACTAGCGCTGGCCGTGGTAGTCGGTGAGGCAGAGGCGGCAGGGCTGCTAGTAGCAGTCGTTGTCGTCACTGCAGCAGTGGTAATACTAGTAGTTGTCTTCAAGGTAGTGGCAGAGCCCGAGCCTGTCGCTGGCGTACACTGAGCATAGTCTAATGGTCATGGTCACTCGGCTGTGGAACAGTAAGATTTCTGCAAGAAACTCTTACATTCATTTATAGTTGAGCATGTTGCACCAGCCACGCAACTTGTGGCCCCTGAATACCCTTGACCCCCACATTGTCCCCAAAGGGTTTGCTGGGCTTGGATTCCGAACGGCAGAAACGCCAATGCGAGAGATAACGTGTAGTGCATTCTGATACTGGGATATCCAACGGTAGCCAAAGAGATGTCGGTTTGTGTTGAACTGCTCTGAACTCTTCTGCTAGTCGGGAAAACGGACAGACTTTATAATGTCATTCTCCCTGGCTCACAGATGCACTCCGCGTTGTCCTCGGAAGCAGCGCCGTCTTTTGACTGCCAACGCCAATTCTTAGTCCCGAAAGATGGATCAATTTCGTCGCAGTGTCCAAGAAAGCTACCAGACGAAGTCATACTCCGTTCTGTATTGGGATACAGGATCCGTCAGCATTATATCAGCGGGCCACTATCACTTCAAAGATGCAAGTATACGCCGACGCCGAGAGAGCTAAACAAGCCATCGGTCGGTGGCGCTGAGACATCTCCCTAACCGATGCGGAGAGCATACTGAAGAATCACGGATACCTGAAGAAATCCCCGTGCAGCCCTATAATCCGGCAGATGAACATGATCTAATCCGAGAGGTCTTTCGGTATTTTTCTGACTGGTTGCGAGCCAGTCACGGCCGCACGGCCCGTTCAGCCTGCATCCGCGCTACCAGGGTAAAATGCCAAGCCAATGCAGGGACTGGCGTAGATCACATTTAGCCAGAATTGCCGGGTTTAACAGCCCGGGTGAATTGCAGGAGAAGAAACATAGCCCTATGTGACGCCCAGATCTTTGCTAATCTAATTTTGCTGTTGACATGCGGAAGGCAGCGCGCATGGTTTGGTTGGCCATTGAGCGGAGACGACCTGAGTAAGTCTGGTAGGTTGTCACTCTATATAGAACAATTCGAGCTCATTAAAGATCCTGGTTGTAGGTATTCTTAACCCGTTATATTTTGAAAAAACCTATTCTCCTAGATGACTATAGTGCCTTAGTCGATGAAACTGTCAGATAATATATCCTTGCTAGAGCTATCGAACAGGCCCCATATTGAGAGCCATGTCCCTCCATTCCCCCAGCGTATCCTGTGCCAATTCGAAGAATACCGGAAGCCTATGGAACCTTCCCGGTGTATGTTCTTCCAGTAGAACAGCCTTCGCATGCCTGGTATAGCCCTGACCAAAGCCAAGGCCCACTACAGCTGCAAACAGTTCTCGGCCTTGGCTGGAGTGGCAAGGGCCACGTTGCTCCGGCAGGGCTTCACCTGTTTGTGGCTCCCAAAGGCTCCCGTCGAGTGCCCTAAGTAACCCGGACAGAGTTTTTTGGGGCTGATTCCAACATGAAGACGTCTCGCGCGGTCCCAGGGCGTGGCTGGCCACTCGCACCGCCTTGGCTGTAAAGTAAAAGTAACCCTCATCGTCCATTCTGCCACCGGGGACCCAACTACTGTCAAAACGGTGCCGGATATCATAGGGAGGCGTGTCAGGCTCATTCGATATGTCATCCTTCTCCGTGGAAAATCGTGGAGCCGAGGACACCGATGTTTCCGGGAGCTCTGGGAAAGATGAAAGACGCCTATCTGGGGGCTCCTTCCAACCGGCGATCAACCAGTCGGCTTTGTTGCTCCTCTTCAAGTACTCTTGTGCAAGAGATATAGTTGCACGAATGCGGTCCGTTGACGCGAACTCTTTAGGATTGAGAGAGACCCCGAAGAGGCCCATGATGCTGAATACCATGTCAACCGGTCGCTTGGAAGTTCTGAAGAAGGAAGATTGCCAGAGAGAGTGGCGTGACCAATTTGACCCGTTCCAAATTGTTTGTGTAGCGTCTGCAAAGGCAGTGATCTCTCTCTTCCGCGTTTGGTAGTTCCCAAAAATTCTCACTTGCATCACTGTTGGTTGTGCATTAGCGTTCATTTGGTAAATAGCCTTCCCTGACCCTCGGCGGATGACTTGGAGGAGGTCCACGAGTCTGCAAAAGGCAGATATATCAGGTACGACAGACTCCACACGACACATGCAGCGTCGAGGGTCGTCAGATACCATCAAATCAATCAAGGGTCTCTCGGGAGGAATATGAAGGCCCTCTGCCGAAACAAGCACATACGCTTCGGAGACAATCGCCTCTTGCAACGTCCAAGCGCGCAGGATCCAGTCTGTCTCTTCATCCAAGCGCACCAGCTTCATAAGGCCACCGGGCAAGACCAGCGGGAGACCCGTTTTGTAGATATCAAACATCCGCTGGATCTGCCATGCCTTGTCGTTGCTATTAGCCTGCATTATACAGAGTCTGTCAAGCCAGATATAATCTAATCGACGACGCTTGCACGCAATGCATGCCTGTTGTATGATGTTGATACTGATCGGATCACCGTCAAGCGCGCCCTCGACAACAATTGTGCCTGAGAGCGAATCGGTGCGATTTCCTTGCCAGATATACGATATTGCCGCGTATGCGGCTGGCGGTCGGTTGCCAAATTTGAAGTTGTCAAACTGTACAATTCGGAGGATGGGGTCTTGGTTGCTAAGTAAAGCTGCGCATTCGACGAGGCGAAATTTCTCGGGCGAACCAATGTTAGAAAGATCGACAAGATTTTGTTGCGAGATATTCAAAGGGACCTCTAAGATCACGTTGGGTTCCATGGCGCCTGTGGTAGTATGGGATCGGGGCCGACACAATTTAATCGGGATTGGTGACTCGTGGGTTGAAGCTGGAAGGAAGTGAATCAGTAGGGTCCATTGATAAGTCGGTAAGTCGGTTACCCCACCTTGCAGATACATACCAAACGCAGGTGGGATGTATCAACACTGGATCAGTCAGGCACTAGTCTAGTATACTAGAATCAGGTAGAGCGCGCCGATTGTTTGTGTTATGTACTCCGTAAGTGTACGTCAATACGACTAGAACAATTAGGCCGAAGAAAGTTTCTAGAAGGGGAAGCAAGTGATTCACAGCCTCAAAGCATAGGAAGCTGATCCCAATTTGTGGTTCGTTGGATCCCGCATAATCCCATCCCAGGGTTATCGATATACAACCACAGAAAGTCCTCTCTATGGCCCCCATTTACCTCCTTCTCACCACTCTTCCTACTCTGCAGTACTGCCTTTCAACGTCACAAAACTTCAACAAGATACAAAAATAGAAAAAAACATACAACAGAAGGGATTCGCTGGTGGTCACCCACCCAACTACTAACCTCCCGGCGTGTGGCTTAAGTACGGCTGAGCGGACGGGAAGCCCTGTTTTCCACACCCTATGGTCGTATGTGCTTAAATCAAGTGTTAGAGACTTCATAAGCTTCAATACAGAACTAAAAAGACACTTGACGGGTCACTTATCAAGTGGATCGTGGTGAAGGTGTGCGGTATCAGAGATAAGCAGGTACGGACATGCTAATCCTCAACTAGATGTAGATGTACATATTTAATAATAATCTGAACTTTTGTCATGTTGAACAACAAATCATGATTTTCTTTTACAGGTAGGACGCGTGAAAACTAGCTAAAGATTGAGACCACTGGTTGGAATGATTGACTGGCCCTGTTTAGACCTGGATCCTTGATATAACTGTATTGACTATATGACAATCAGGACTTTCGATCAAAATCTGAATTACTTCATAGTAGGCTGTACTGTGTGGAGCAGCTAGTATTCCAAATATACCAAGTGAATTAAGGTTCTCGCAGTTTGTCTGATGCGACAGCATCTACTTTACCAATCCATTTCATCCTCTCCACTTTACATCCATCAGCAGACGCCGCGGCGACACACTACCCCCACATCCAAACCCCCAAACCAGTCACAACCCCCATCACCGCCTCAAAAGGCGTGACCCGCTTCCATGCCTCCTCGCCCGTCCGATAAAACACCACCGCAGCCAAAAGCCTGGTCGGTACCGTAGCCGCCATCATCGGGATGTTATTCTGATAGGCGACAAGAGCATAGAAAGTACCCAGTGTCAAGGATGAAAGACTTTTGCTTGATTAGAGAGAATTATAACAGATCTTCAATATATAAATTGCCTACCTCATCGCCTGAATAGTCCCTATGCTGACGCCCCGTAGAGGCAGGTATGGCGATTGCGCAGCGGAAGCGGGAAAAAATAGGGTATAGAGACCGCTGCCGAGGAGGGGGAGGGATTGGAGGGCGAAAAGGTATTGGGGGATTTGGGAAGACATGTTATTTTTGTAGGTGTCTTGGACTGGGGTTTGAGTTTGTAGGTGCTGTGAGGTGGTGTTTCTGGTAGATGAGTGAGATGTGGTGAGATTGAGGTTTCTGTCCGTCAGCATCCGCGCCACTGTTGTTTGATTAAGGCTGGAGACCCCACCACGGGTGGCTTGATCCCTTGCGGGATGCCAAATGAGCAGAGAGTAAGTTATTCTGGGGAGCTGTGCGATGGGATCTAGGCATGTTTTGATGTGAAGGGATATGGGATAAGTTTAGAGAGACCGGTGAGGTCCCTAGGATGAGACGTTTGGGAAGAATATTATGGTCTAGGATGATGTTGTTGGGACAACGAGTTGGTGTGATAAGAAAATTAATGGGGCAAAATACTATTCCATTGCGAATAACGACGCGACTTCAACTGCGCTAAAAGCAATCGAGCAGAAAACTGAAGAAAGGATACCAGTCCAGCCAGTGCAGATCACCACGTCAGTCAAAGCGTGGGTATTAAAGAACTCTTCATTCAACGTAAGACAACGCTCACAGAAAGTCACGAATTCCCATCTAATCCAGGAACATCAGCTGACCATTCTGGTTCGTAATCCTCTCATCCAGCCGAATCCAGGTGCGATTCCATCCATCATTGCCATCCGCTAACTCCGCCTCCAGCACACGGCCCCCATCAACCAAGCGAACATTTCTAGCAGACGCCGCAAAGTTTCCGTTCCGCTCCCACGCGAACTTTCCCCAGTGGTTAGCCAACACACTGTTCAACGGAAGCACCGAGAGCTGCAGCTCCCCGGACACCCGTCCACAAGCCGCCACCAGATCGTGGTGACTTTCGAGGCGGATATCCCGAGCCGAAGCGGAGAAGTTTCCGCGCAGAGGCGCGCCGTGATGGGGAGGAGGTCTGTGGTGGTGCTGGTGCTGCTGCTGAGACATCCTGTATTGTTCTTCCCTACGACGCTGTTCTTCCATTCTGCGACGCTCCTCCTCGCGACGACGTTCTTCTTCCTCGTGCTCTTTCTTCTCCTTGTGCTTCTTCACTGCGTCTTCGGCCACGGAGCCCATCATAGCTCCACCGATGGTGCCGAGAAAACCGTGGTTGACCTTATGTCCTGCGAAACCACCAGCTGCACCGCCTGCGAGGGCGCCCATGATACCCTTCTCGCCTTCGCCGGCGGCGGCCGGGTCGGTGGACGACTCGGGAGAGTACGGGGGAGGTTGCTGGTGGGAGGAGTAGCCTTCATGCTGAGGGTAAGGCGGGTAGGGTCTCGACTCCGAGGGAGGCTGGCCGTACTGTGAAGGCTGCTCGTACTGTGGGTAAGGTGGGCGTCCACCGTAGGATGAGTATTCAGGGTTCTGGTAACCGGGTTGAGGGGACGGCTGCTGGTATGGGCTGTAAGGTCTGTTGTAGCCTCCAGCACCCTGAGGGGGATAAGGAGAAGAGGCGCCGTATCGGTCATGGCCGTTCTCGACGGAGGGGGGATACGAGCCGTATCCGGTGGAGCTGGGAGTGTCGACGGCCGGGGATGACCAGGGAGAGGGGTTCTGCTGACGGCGATCAGGGTTGGCGGGGGTGGCACTGCTGCCACCGAAGTACTCTTGAGCTGCCATCGTGAGGTCTAACTGTGCTTGTAGACGGCAATAGAAGATGAAGGGATGTATTAGAAACGCTGAGTGAAGGACGAGAGAAAAGCAAAGAAACGATGAAGGAAGAGGAGTGTTGACTTCTTAAGCGGGAAACCTGTGGCTGTGCGGGGTTGGGGGAGGGGCTGCCTGAGACCCCGCTAACCTGGCCCAGTAAGCGCGAGTCAGGCACCAAGTGGCGCAGTCCAAGGGCGGTTCATTGATTGGTGGAGAGGAGAGCTCTGATGGCTGTTCCATGGGCGGGACTCACTTAGGGCTGACAGAAGTGCCTGCACAGCCCCACTGCTTTTCTGCCTACAAGCTCTTTCACGGCGCTTCGCGGGCTCATTTATCGCTGAAACATACAGGAAGCTAAGTAGGGATAAGACTTCTCGCTTAAATTAGCTGATGTGAGAAGTGTGTATACACTATAATGTATGCCGTCATGGGTACTAACTGATGCTTGTACGGACACTGAAAGTTGATTTCATTGCTGCCTATGACCGGATGTGGGGGCTGAATTCTGGGCAAGGGTCTTCGACAATGAATTTTTTACTCATCACTTGGCTTTCCCAGATGTATGGCTTTCTCTGTCTTTCACCGACTTGAGACAGGTCAGATCGATCTGCTTCCCACTGCACCCAAATCAACTCCTCTCCTTCATTACGACAGGGCTGACTAGACTCTCGACTAAAACTAATATCACATGCCCCATGTGACTCAGTTAAACTCAAGTAAAAGCCTATCCCTACACTGTGTTAATCGTCCGAAAGTCTCAACATTCACTACCACGTCATAAGGCATCATGCCATAACACAGTCATAAGCAAACATTCATTCACAGCCTTGACAGCAGTTGAAAGAAAGCCTAGCCGAGGCATAGATGGCCACAAGCGAGAAACCGAAACACACGGAGCGCACTCTCATTTTCATGAACTCATAAGGGACTTCGAACGGTCCACTCCAAAGCTTGGGTGGAGCGAACACCCTGTTTTCCCTTTCAGGCATAGTTTCGGGGCCATGGTCCACCGTCAACAGCTGCACCGCCACCGAACATTGATCAGCATTAACGCATGGTTCAATCGATGGTCTGGTAGATGACACCATTTGTGAATGACGGGAACAGGGAAGGGAAAGCTTGTCTGTTCTAGGCCTTGCTGTATAGCATGCGCCTCATGCTCAAGCAGACCATTCAACCATAGCCATACGAATGGTATTCATAATGATACTGACTTCGATCACCATGATCACAATTAACAATCGCCTCCGATTAAAGGTTACACGTTATCTAATATACAAGAATATATACAGCCATCACCCCCGAACTATATAAAACCCATTCACGGCAATCTGCTTATCCCTTGCCTCATCCGTCGGAGCCCTAACCCCGATCCAATGCAAGGGAACCTTCTCCGCCAGCTTCTGCCCTCGATACTTGACGTTCTCCACACCTTCTCTAGTTCTATCCATCCAGCCTCCACTTCCACTTCCATTTGCTCCATTAGTGCCTATACTTCGCGTCCCTGAGAAGGACCTATCTGCTGCCCAAGCAGGATGTTCGAGAATGCTCTGCGCATACGACACATCGCATGCATCAGCTAACATGGCCGCCTCAGCAGCCGCCTCGCGAGCAGCTATGAGATCCTTTTCTGTCTGGCCTCTGGGCGGAGGTACATCCGGACGGAGAAAACCCATGATCCGGATCTGAAGCTTGGTTTGAGCTCGTACCGGCACAGCAGGTTCATCGATGAAGCGGACAGTCGTGATCTTCTGCATAGCGCGCGAGAGATTGACTCGCTCCTGTTGTATCGGATCAAAGTATACAATCGAGAACACAACGCCCTGCCACGTTCCTGAGGCCGAACCTGGCCCTCTCTCCGCTGTCGCCTCAACACCCTCAACTCTTGCCCACCCAAAGAAAAACCCCCGATACCGATCCAGCACCATATCAGACACCTTACCAACCCTAAACCGAAGCCCATCACTATCCCCAGCTTCCACCCTCGCCGTAAGGTCCACAGGGAACGGTGCCTTCGGCCCCTCCTCCAGCGCAAGCTGATACCCTGCTTGCACATCCCTCAGCCCATTCCCACTCCCACTCCCTCTTCCATCATCATCATCCCCACTAACCCCCAACACTGACCCAACCCTATCCCCAACCCCACTAACCGAAACAGCTGTCTCCGCCGCCGTCTGCGTCACCCAACTCGGCTGATACGGCTGCACTTTACTCTGCACGGCGGCCGTAACCGGCGCCACGACCGCCTCAGCGGCAGTCTGAACATACATACCCAACACCATAGCCCCGACCTCCAACGGCATAGTCGACAAACTAGCCCCCCTACACGAACTAGGACTCAAACTCGTCGACAAAACCCGAAACACCGGACTATAACACATAACCTTCCTCCTATTCTCCCCATCCCCACAAAGCACAAGCTGGAAATACCCATCCCCGGCCTCAACAGGGATCCTCACCACCATCGTCTCGCGAAGCACATGCTGTCTCTCGCGGCCCGTCGCCTTCTTGCGAAACTTGCTGATGTCGCGCTGCCACGCGCGCTCGTCGACCGGGTCGACTTGCTGCACGTGCACGGGGAGCGTCGGCGTAACGTTTGGCCAGGAGTCGGTGAGGCCGAGGAATGCTTTGGTTTTCATGCCGGTTTTGCCGCTCCAGCCTTTGCTTTGGAGGTAGAGTGTGCGGGTTGGTGGGAGGGGCGTGTCGGAGAAGATGGAGATGGTGACGGAGGTAGTGCTGCCGCGGTAGAAGACAATGCCGGAAGAGTGCCGCAGGATGGTGGTGTGTTTTGTGCTGCTTGTGGGGTGCGTTATGAGGCCGCCGAGGAAGTGGGTGGCTTCGTTGTAGGCCTTTTGGGCGGTGGAGGGGCCTGTCGCTGTTGGGTTTGGGGTTGTTGCGGAGCGAGGAGGGGGTGGTGGTGGTGGGAGGGGCGAGGGGGTACGACTTGGATAGGATGGCTCATTGTGGGTAGTTGCAGAGCGGATAGGGAGGGGTGGTGTGTAGGGTGGTGGAGGGCGATGAGGACGTGGTGATAGTGGTTGTTGGTGGACTTGGAGTTGCTGTTTGGAGGATACGCATGGTTGTGGCGGTGGTGTTTGCGAAGGCGATACCGTTATGACGCCGCGGATGGTGCCGTCCGGGGATGTGGTCTGGGGTAGAGGTTTGCGCTTTATTCCTGTGTTGGCGTGCATGGTGTGGTGCACCACTGGGAAATTGGGGTTATCTAGTAATCATTATGATTCAGTGGGAATGGTCAGGAGAAAAATCCCCTGGACCCCTATTGCGATGGTCTGGATCGAGTGATGATGTCGATCGGATGCCGCGGATGTGATGAGTCAGCGGGCGATAAGATAAGATGGTTTGACAGGTGGGGATCAGTAGTCTGCAAGAAACTGTTAAGGACTTTCCTATGGCATTGTTGGATGTATTGATGCATAGAT